CGGGCACCCACATGGGCACTGGCTCCCTGTGAGGCTGCAGCTAGACCAGGCATACCATAAGCAGCTTCCATGGGTGATACTGGGGAATGTGGTGTGGTGCCTACAAGTTTGAAGATGCCAGGAACCAAAGAACCCTAATGAGGGTATCACAACCCTGGCCTGGGGGGCTCCTAGGTCTAGGCTCCCTGAAGGGCCACAGGTCTTCTCTCCTCTCTTCTCTCCTTCTTGTTGCCCACAATGTGGTGGGCAAGGGTGTGTTTCAGCCCTGTTTGTGTGACAGCCCTTTTAGCCCCACCTTTCAGCAGGTCCCAAATTCCTGTCCTGTGTCCAGGAAGAATGAGGTAGGCAGACAAGTGGAAGGTGAGCAAGACGATGAGGAGCTTTCTTGAGCAATACAACAGCTCAGAGGAGACCATCAGTGGGCAGCTCCTCTCTGTAGCCAGGGTGTCTCAGCAAGTGTTTAGCTCTCAACAGAGACGGCAGCTCCTCTCTGCAGCCGGGCATCTCGGTAAATGTCCGGCTCTGAGCAGAGAAGGTAACTCCTCTCTTCTGGACAGGTTGTCTCAATGAGTGTCTGGCTCTCAGCAGAGCTTTCCTCTCTGCTGAGAGCCAGACACTCATCGGGATGACCAGCTGCTGAGAGGGTAACTCCTCTCTGTTAGGCAGGTCACCCTGACGTGTGTGTAGCTCTCAGCAGAACGGGTAGTTGCTCTCTGCAACTGGTCATCCTGTGGTCTCCTCAGCTGTAGGCAGACAGGAGACCATGGGGTGGGCAGCTCCTCTCTGCAGCTGGTTGTCCTGGAATGTCCTAGAGTCTGGTTGGGTTTGAGGCTTTTACAGGCCTCAGAGGGGAGGAAGTGCATGCTGATTGGTCCATGGGTAGCCACAGGCAGGCCTGTAAAAGACACCACGAATTCCCACTCTGTTCCGTGGGACCTGCAGCTTGGCCCCAGGCTTCAGGCCCTTCCCAGCTTGAAGGTGGGGCTTCACTGGGTAACTGCCCCTCCTGCCCAGGAGCTTGTCTGCCTCCTCTTGCGGTTCATAGTGCCCAGGCTGTTTGTGCCAAGGGATGCCTGCAGGTCAGGTTGACCTACCCTCGGCACCCCCTTGGCCTCCCTCCATGCTCATTTGTCCCCAAAGTCCTGAGGAGGTTGAGGTGGCAGGGGGCTACCGTGTCAGCATGCCCCAAGCATGTGTACACCCATCCAGGTGTCAACAGTACCCAGGCTCAGCATCAGCTTTGCTCCATGATTGGAGTGGGTGCCGCCAGCAGGGAGTGGCCAGGGATCAGAAGGAGACATTTCCAAGCCTGCAGGGGTAAGGGGGGCCTTCCCAGGCCCCCTAAGAGTGCAGAGATGCCTGGGTCCGCAGCTACAATTTGGACAGCTGCAGCCATGCCTGGGAGGGCAGGGCTCGTGTCTGCCCCCAGCTCCCGCTGGCTCCATGGAGCATCGCATCACCCTGGGCTCAGCTCTACCTCTGGGCCCCTGTCTACCTGCCCCTCTGTGCCCGACCGTGCTGCTCCCCGACTGGCAGGTGACTTGGCTCGGCCCCATCATGGCAGCTCCCAGGGTGGCGGGCGAGGTGCAGGTGGCATAGTGGCCCCAGCCAACCCCACACAAACAAACCCAACACTCCCAGGGCCCCTGGGGCATGGTGGGGAATGAGGCTGAGGCCTCAGCAGAGGCTCTGGGCCTGAGAGCAAGTTCTGCCCAGTCGTGTGAGGATTGGGGTGGTGTAGTTGGCTGCTTCAGGAACATGGGGCACAGGGGACCCACTGTCGCCACTGCTGCTCCCACAGCCATTCCTGCTGCCACCGCCTGCACCTCCCTGCTGCAGCAGCCAGCGTGATGGCATCTGCTCCAGACAGCCCGCCATCATAATCTTATACTGTTAACTACTATAATCTCTGTTAGTAATTTTCACACAACTGAACTTTGCTTGAAACTTACCATTATATCTAGAGTTCATCAACTGTCCCCTAAAGGAAAAGTCCTGAATAAGGACTCTACATTTTTCTGTGTCATAAGAATAGTTTATAACAATAATTTATTTGTGTATTAGTTGCGTGATTAAAGTCCATTTAAAAAATTTTAAAAAGAGGCGAGATGCTTCAGGGAATGCGTTAAAGCTCAGAGGTGTAAAAAGCAACTTCAAGTCTAGGAGCTGCCCAGCAATGCCTGGAGGCATTCAATAAATATTTGCTGAAACAGTACACAGTACACAGGATATGGCACAAGAAGTCCTGCTCGTCAAATGCTCTTTCAATTTCTGTGTTAACTGTATTTGTGGATCACTTATTTTTCCCCCTCAAAAAACAAGTACTGAGCATGTACCTATGCAATAGGGTAGCCCCCTCAAGTTTTATAGTATATATTTTTAAAAGAAATTTGATGTTTTCATCTGTCTTGCTGCACCTGGCAGACCCTCGACACTGACGCTGTGTGAGGAGGTATGAGATTAAGCACACACAACTGCCTCAGGTCTGATTTGGTTTCCAGGGAACCATCCTGGCTCCTCCAGATCACAGCAGCCTTGGTTGCCCCAGAGAACCAACCTCTAGCCCCCTAACCCTCTAAGAACACTGGACCAGACAGACACAAACAAGGTGGAGCCTCCCTTTACCGCCCTCTGCTCTGACACTGGAATAACTCATGCTCATTCTGCAATCTCTCACTTTGGGAGTTCAAGGCAGCCCTGGGAACACCAGCACCTGTCCTCCAGCAGGCACCCGGAGATGCCCGGCCCCTCACCTGCACCTTGCACCTTGCTTACAGCTCCAGCACGGGCTCACTGGCTTCCTTTGTTCTCAGCTGGGCTCTGCAGCCTTGGTGCTTCATCTTCTATGCCAATGCCCCTATAAGCTCCTTGCTTAAGAGTCTTGTTCTATTCAGTTCCAACCTCCATACTGTCCCACCTTCAAGGCCCCAAACTTTCAGATATTTTGGTGAGCCGCACCATCTTGACTCTTACCAATTTCCTTAATATATCCCAACCATCAGCCACCTTGATTCAGGGCTCTGATTATTATTATTATTATTTTGAGATAGCATTTTACGCTGCTGCCCAGGCTGGAGTGCAGTGGTGCGATCTTGGTTCACTGCAATCTCCACCTCCTGGGTTCAAGCAATTCTCCTGCCTCAGCCTCCTGAATAGCTGGGACTACATGCATGAGCCACCACACTGGCTAGTTTTTATATTTTTAGTAGAGATGGGGTTTCACTATGTTGGCCAGGCTGGTCTTGAACTCCTGACCTCAGGTGATCCACTTGCCTCTGCCTCCCAGAATGCTAGAATTACAGATGTGAGCCACCACACCTGGCCCAGGGCTCTTAATTATTTTACTCCCTCTCCACCCTATCTCAAAAACCCCCAAGCACTCCCCATTGGCCACCAAGGTAGATACATGCTCACTAGCCCGACTTTTACACTGCACTACGATAGAGGTCCAACCACCTTCTCTGCGTCCCTCTCTTGGGCTACATCTGGCAAGACTGGAATAGTCAGCGTTCTTGTGCATGCTCCATGCTTCCTACCTCCCCAGCCTTTGTACACGTTCTTCCCTGAACACCTGGAAAGCTCTCCCTGCATCTCTCCCTAGCAACCTTCCAGCAATCTTCCTCCATTAGGCCTTCCCTGATTCTGCTGATCGGACAGACCCACCACTCCCTCCTTAAACCACCTTAGAACTTTGTACACCTATGGCACTGACTTCATCTTGAACTTTGGCTCTCTGTGGATGTCTGAGGGGTTTTTTTTTTGTTTGTTTTTGTTTAAGACTGGGTTGTGCTTTGTAGCCCAGGCTGAAAAGCAGTGGCACAATCATGGCTCACTGCCGCCTCGAATACCTGGGATATTGCCCCTGCAATAGCTGCTTGAAGAGGCAGACCCAGGCCTGGGCCTTCCTGGAAAGGGCTAACAGCTCCCTGTGAACTTGCCGAACTTGGAATGCCTGGGAAAAAGGCCGCAGACCATGTGTGTGTTGGCATATCCAGTGACTTTTCTAGATTGAGAACGTAGGATCACCGATCCCTCACTATCCTGACCACTTCTCAAGCAATCCTCCTCCGTTAGCCTCCCAGGCTGGTCTTGAACTCTCTGCCTCAAGTGATTCTCCCACCTTAGCCTCCCAAAGCACAGAGATTACAGGTCTTTCCCTCAACCTACTGGCTATCTCGTCTTCCTTACTATATTAAAAGCAAGGGCTCTGGACATGGACTGCTGAGGTTAGATTTCTGGCTCTGCTCTTTAACAGCTATGGGATCTGGGCAGCTGGTCTCTTTTTTGGCTCAGTTTCCTCATATGTAAAAGGAGGATACAGACAATGGCTTCCATGTCTGGCCTTCTTTTTTTCACTTTACAAATAAGTATACTTCTCTCCTGTCTGAATGTAGGAATAACACATGTTTGTAAATTTAAAAGTTGAAAACTGCAAAAAAGAAAAAAAATTAAATTATTCCTAATCTCATTTGGGATACTTTGGCATATTTCTTCCAGGTGTTTTTCTGCATGTAGCTTTTTTTCATAGTTGAAACCACATTATACAAACAGTTTCACATTCTGGTGGGCTGGTTTTTCATGTAGTACAACAGGTATTTCCTCAAGTCTCTAAACTCTCACTCTGCACCCCTCATCTACTATTTCCCAGTGATGTGGCTTTGGCCAGCTGCTGCACTTTGCTATTACAAGTAAACCTGCAACCCACACCTTGGGAGAGAACTTGCTTCTCTCCTGAATCTCAGTGAGCATTTTAACCGCCACCCCGTTAGACAGGACGCAGCCGCAGCAGAAAGCGAGTAACTCCTCTCGGTTCTGGAAAAGTTCAACACAGAAAGCAACTGTGGAGTCCTTGGCAAGGTTTAACCGTGAGCATTCAGAAAGATAACGGATTTTCTCACACGCACGGGCATTTCAGGGCTGCAAGCCCAGCGCCGCCACCCTGCAGCTGGGGCCTGCCTCCTGCCGCCCCGACCCACCGCGACGGCGCCCGGCCCCCTTACCTGGGCAACGCCAGGGCCTCCTCCGTGCGGCCGAGGACGCCGACGACCGCGGGTAGCGCCAGCACCCCGTCAAGGTCGAACACTGCCGCGCGCAGCGCCATGGCGGCGGAGCTGCAGCCTGACCCCGGGACCGGGAGCTAACCCGGTAGACGCGCCAAGGTGGCGGCGCACGACCCTCCCAGCTTGGCCCGGCCCCCGCCCCCGCCCCCGCCCCCGCCCCCGCCCCTGCTCTGGCTCCGCCTCCTCCCCGCCCCGCCTTAACCTGGCTCCGCCCCCTTTCCGGGTCCTGGCAGGACCAGGTCCGGCCCGCAAAGAGTCCCGGGAAGGGGATGGGCGGCGGAAAGGGTGTCAAAGGGAGAGGCAGGGAGGTCAGGGAGACGGGAACCCCAGGCTAGAATCTCGCCTCTGGATATCGCCTTCCACTGTCTCAAAGGAAAGTCCAGAGACTCCTATGCCCGCTCCCAATGCCCCCGCAGAAGCTGCTTGAAGAGGCAGACCCCGGCCCTGGCCTTCCTGGACTGGCGGACAGTTCGCTGGGAACTTGCCGGACTTGGAATGCCTGGGAAAGAGGCCACAGACCCTGTGTGTGTGTATTGTGCGCGTGTTGGTATATCCGGAGAATTTTCTAGATGCAGAACATAGGATCACAGATCCTCACTATCCTGACCACTCCTCTAGGCACGCTCTTCTTTGCCAGGGCAAATGTGTTTCTAGAATAAAATACGATGTTCCGGCTATGGTGTGCCAGCCCATAATACTTCGATTTCGATCTCTTGAGTACTGAGGCTTAGAAGAACTAAATGTGGGCTATTATTTTCCTTTTGTACATGCTACTTGTAATAATTCTGTCTAAACATGTGTGTTTGTTTTTAATCACCGATTTCCACACTATTGGCTCATTTATGTTCCTAGGAAAACTAAAACTTTGGGAGTCCTTGAGCACAGTGGACTCTTTGAGTAGTAGAGCTCCGTGAATTAAAAACCATGTCTTTGGTGGAGACCAAATAGAGTGAGTGAGGTCTCCATCAGCGGAGACTTCACTCTTGAATGTGTCTCTGTGGATTTATCCAAGATGCCCTCCACCACGGAGCTTCCAGAACCTTATGAGAGGTTGTCAGATACCTCACTGTAGCTGGGAGGTCTACAACAGTCTCTGGATCTAGTAATCAACAAGATTGACAAGAGCTGTGGGTTTCCTCTGGGCTATTTGCTCTCAGCCAGCTATGCTGTTGTTTTCTCCCCTAGCTTTGCAACCTCTTCTAGGCTTCTGCCTGGAGCAGTGTTTTCTGAGATTCTTGCCCAAGAAGCAGAGTAGCCAACAATGCCAAATGTTACAGAAAGAACTGGAAAAAAAAAAAAAGCTGTGCAATTTTGGACTTGGATGACACTGGGTTATTTCAGAACACTTTCCGTGGGCCCTTTGGTGGTGGACAATAGATTACTCTGGATTTGAAGACTGAAAGGTCAGTAGAGAAGGGAATACAGCAAACTAGTTTCTCAGGAAGTTAGTTGATCTCAAAGGTAGAACTGAATTAAAAAAATAGAAAGCAAATTGCCACCTGAACTATACAGCATGAAACCTCTCAAATCTCCAGGTTGGGCGTGGTGGCACACACCTGTAATCCCAGCACTTTGGAAGGCTGAGGCGGGTGGATCACTGTCAGGAGAAAACCCCACAAGAGCCAAGGCAAGGGTCTGAAGCCTCAGCATGTTCTCCTATAAACATAGAAACAAATTAGAGATATAGTTACATAGTTATTCCTATACATGATCATATATAATCACATAGCTATTCATATGTACTCACAACCGTATACGCATATATAATCATCTAATCTTTAATCTTACTAATAAGCCTCAGGTCAAGAAGTATGGGACTGAAGTGGCAATGGAAAGGCGGTGACCCTAAGACAAGATGCTCTGAGTCCTCTGTCACGCCCGCAAAAGGGCTGCTGGAGGACGCCTCGGCTGTGCGACAGTGTCAGCACTGAGAAAGCGCCCGCTGTTTAGCCAGCCAGGGAAGGAGACATCCAAGATGGCCAAGACGTCTCATCCCCTGAGGATCGAGGAGAAAACTCCAGTTCTCCAAGCTCTTGTGGGAGGCCTGAGGGCTGTCAGGGAGGCCCACAGACATCCGGGGACTTAATTGTCTCCATGTGGTGCTGCACTTCAGCGGTCACGTTCCGTGGCTACTTTCAAGTTCTGCTTCTGCACCTGGTTCCTCTTTTCCTTGGAAGATAAGAATTAGTAATAGTAACATAAATCATAGTGACCTTGCTATTTCTTGACAAGTATGGAAAAAGTGCTGACTCCTTAGGTTTTCTCCTCCCCTGGGCTTCTTCAAAGTCCCCCTATCTCCAAGACATGTGATTTACCTGACCCTGTCACTGACCACCATGACATCATCCTACTTGCCTTTCCCCGGCTTTGTACTCAATAAAAGAGTGTCCAGGCACTTAGGGCCACTGCTGGTCTCCATGCTTTTGGGTAGCAGTGGACCCGTGGGCCCAAACTCTCTTTTCTCTATCCCGATGTATAGTGTGTCTTTATTTCTAATTTCTCATCTCCACACCAGCAGGGAGGGACTCACTGGACCCTATAAGGCTGGACCCTATAGATCACCTGAGGTCAGGAAATAGAGACCAGCCTGACCAACATGGCGAAATCCCGTCTCTACTAAATAGAAAAAATTAGCCGGGCATGGTGGTGCATGCCTGTAATCCCAGCTACTCAGGAGGCTGAGGTGGGAGAGCCACTTGAACCCGGGAGGCGGAAGTTGCAGTGAGCCGCGATCGAACCACTGCACTCCAGCGTGAGTGACAGAGTGAGACTCCGTATCGAAAACAAAACAAAACCAAACAGCTACAGTAATTTCTGTTGCCTGCATTCTGAATTCTGCATCTAGCACAGTATTGCTTATGAATACATAAGTATGTTTATAAAACAGTAAAGTGAGGAGGAATGACACACCTCCTACAGAACTAGCTTTCATAAAGTCCCTTTTGAGAAGAAAAATTTTAAAATGTAGAAATATGTGTTTCACTTTCCTCTTTGGTTAAGAGAAAGCTATGAAGCTATCACATGGACTTTTATTTATTCAGGAGAGGTTAAGTAGTAAATTGCTCTGGTCTGGAATATTTTATAATGCCTGTGAGTTACAGTCCTTTCTGGCAGAATTGCTTAGGCAAAGATTAAAGGTCTCAGTTGCATTTCACTGCGCTTTGCCCTTTTCCATGGGTCATGCTTCTCCTGTGTTTTCTGCTACTAAGGTACAGAGAGATAAGGGCTTACCCAGCAGGGCTATGGGAACTGGATCGCTTTTTGAAATGTAAATCCTAACCCCTATGTCTGCTAATTTTAGTGTTTATGAAATATGTTTTAGGCGATAGCATGAATCATAAAAGATGGCTAATGTAGTAGTGAAAACTTATAAATTATACCTGATTTCAATCACTAAACTCATAATGAACTTACAATGCCCTCATTAGGGTTTATTTTGGGTTTCCTGCCATTCCTATGCCTTCCCCACTTCCTGCTAGTCCTTGATTGCCCAACTGTATTTTGTAAAACCTGTTTAATCACTAAGGGCTGAGAGGGAAGAGTTTACACTGCTGCTTCTCTCTGCTGTAGATACTTTAATCGAGTTCAAAGTAAAGTTACCTTGGGCTGTTTTCTAAACCTACAATCCACTTGGAGTTTTGTCCTTCATTGAATGCAGCAAACAAATGTTTTGAATTAGAGCAGGAGGCTGGACCTGGAGCTGGATGGTCCCTGGTGAGACTTGGAGCTCTATCCCTGTGGAGTTAGGATGGGGTTTGGGGGGCCTTTTTGCTTGTGTGAGGAATGGTTGCATTCTGTTAGATTCTGTATTTGTCTGTTTGACATCCACTATGTGCAGGGCCAAACTAACAGCCAGCGTTGCTTACGTCTCCCCTGCAGCCAGCTTTTACAGGTGCACTAAAGTCATAGTACAAACCCTCTGCCCAATCTTGACTCAGTATCCACAACAGCCCTAATTGTCTAACTCTCACACACCAAGCCAGTATTTCTCCTGCCTCAAATCACCTCAGAGCCAGGTACTGGGCAATCAGACACCACCCCTATAGCCCAGAACCCACCAAGAGTATGAAGTCTGTCTCATCGAAAGCTGCTTCCTTGCAATGTCCTGGCTTTCCCGGGAAACCCCATGCAGGCTGGGGGCCAGCCTTCCCTCATTGTGGCCTCCGCCTCCTGACACTCCCTGGTGCTGCTCCTTGTGGCCCTATGTGGCTTTGCGGGGATGTGCCACCCCTTCTGAGTCAAGGGATCTGTGAGTACAGACTCACTCTGTTATGACAGTCACTTCTGTGTCTGCATGTCTTACCATACCTGATTAAAACAAATTCTGGGTACAAATTTTAGGACAATTAGGTGCAAACATTTTTTTTCAAAATGTGATGATGGAAAGTTGAGTGTGCATTGATGTTAGGAGACAAAGAGCTAGATTGTGGTGGGGGGTGGGGTGCGGGTTTCCAGCATTGAAACAACTTTCAGATATTTAGGAATGTCCCCCCTCTTGAAGTAGGCAGAGGCCACCTTCCACATAGAAGCTCAGAGCCCCAGATTCCTGCTTCCTTGGCCTTCCTGTCATCTGGTTTGGGAGCACAGGTTTTAATCAGATGCATCTGTCCTGACCTTTGTATGCAGAGCCAGTGACACAAAGGAGCAGGGCTGGAGAAGAATTAACTATGGCAGCAGCGGCAGGAGCAGGGACTGATTCTTCCCAGGACAGCAGTGACAGCAGCACCCGAGATGGTGCCAGGTTCACATGCAGCTCTGTAGCAGCAGGGCCCGCCACGCTGGCCACGGGACAGAGGCCTCCCTCTTCTCCCTGCTCTTCAAGCAGCACCTCCAGCTTTCTAGGTGCTTCTGTGACCCCCCTTTCTCCCTCAATAGAAACATTCTTCACTTAAAGGAATTGGTAGGTTTTTATTGCTTGCAACCAAGAATCCGGATAGATACAATTTGTGATATTCTCCTCCCTCCCTCCCTCCCTGCCTCTCTCCCTCCTTCCCTCCCTCACTCCCTTCCTTCCTTCCCTTCTTCCTTCCATCTCCAGATGGAAAATGTATACACCTAACTTTATATGTATATATAGACACACACATATACTATGTGTGTGTGTGTGTGTGTGTGTGTGTGTGTGTGTGTGTGTGTAAATATGGTAAAGTATTAAGATTTGTTAATTTGAGGAGTGGAAATATGAATGTTCATGGTTTTTTGGTATTTTATGTCTTTTAATGCTCTCAAAAGATGATGCTAGCGATCGTATGCACACATGTATGCACAATGCATGTGTGTATTTGTGTTTATTTGTGCTAATTGACTCCTCCTAGTAAGCCTATGAATCAGGAGCCATTGTCCACATCCTCTTTTTACATCTGAGGAAACTGAGGCACAGGAAGCTGAGGCTGGTCCAGGATCACGCAGATGTTCAAGAAGAGAGCTAGAAATCCAGCCTCAGCAGTTTGTGGCCAGGTCATGCCCAGGGCCCTTGCTTTTAACAAACTAAGGGAGATGAGCTAGCAAGTAGCTTGAGGGAAAGGCCAAAACTGAAGAGTGTTTTTAGGATGGGGAATGAGCTTAGTTAGGGGTTGAGGGGAAGGAACAAGTGGGGAGGGGAGGGAGGGTCTGAGAAAGGCTGGGCTGTACATAGAGGGGGTGCTGTCCAGATCACAGCGGTCAGGATTCGCCAAGCACGGAAAGAGACAGGAGTCCTGACCTGACGCTAGAGAAAAGGAGGCTTCTTTGGAAAATCGAAGGCAAGGTCACCTGCAAGGAGGCTGAGGGGGTGACAGGGAAGCAGCCACACTGGTGGCCTCATGAGTGACCTGCGGTTCTCCAGGTTGGTCGGGGGAGGGGTCCCACAGGGAACGAGGGGAAGGGGAGAACGGCGGGCTGGCTGGCAGCTCTGTTCTCACTCCAAGTTTGCTGAAAACTCTACTGCTATTTTGACAGACAGACCCAGGACCCAGGGCCCAGAACCTATGGGTGCACTCAGGGGCCCCGGGCAGTGATCCTGGAGCCCAGGGGTCCACAGAGCAGGGAAGAGAGCATCGTGTCCACACAGCAGGGAAGGGAGCATCGTGTCCACACAGCAGGGAAGGGAGCATTTGTCGTGACTGGACAGTGGTGACTGGACAGAGGGAGGGAGAGCTGCATCTGTCCCCACCGGACACAGGCTGGAGAGTCACAGGCTCCTCCTCCTTCCCCTCCAGAGAGGGTGTGTGTGTGTGTGTGTGAGAGAGAGAGAGAGAGAGAGAGAAATTGAGAGAGAGAGAGTGAGAGCGGGAGAGGGCAGCGTGAGCCTGTGTGCTTGCGAGCTGAGCCCTCATTCCTTCCTGGGGTCAGGCTTGGGTTTCACCTGCAGAATCGCTTGAGCTGGGCTGCCTGGGCTGCCCTCCTTAGTGACACTTGCGTGAAGCCTCTCTGGCTGCCAGAACTGGGCAGCCCCAGAAAAACCGACCTCTCTGCAGAGCTTGCCCAGCCGTCCCCGGGAAGCCAACTGCCTGTCACGGTAAGTCCTCCTCTTGATGGGGTGTCTCCTAAACCCTCACGCTTCAGCCTCTGTTTGCCCATGAAATGAAATGACTGAGCTCTATTCTGTACCTGCCACTCTATTTCTGGGGTGCCTTTTGTAGGCTTCCCAGAATCTCCAAGCCAGGCTGGTTCTTTGCATCCTTTGAGCGACCTGTCTTCTTCTGTAACCACAGGTAAGAAAGGCGCCCAAGGCTTACGCTGGGGGTGGTGTGCATGTCAAGAGATTGTGGATGTGGAGTCAAACAAATATTAGCAGTTTCTGGGTGCTCAGGAGGCGGTTATGTCTGAATGCTGAATGTCACCTGCTCCCGGAAATATTTTCATCTCCTGGTTGTCCCTGTTGGGGTTGTCCACAGCCAGGTGATGATGAACACCTCCTGGCTAGAATGGCCAGCCCAGTCTCAGGAATAGTGACTTTATTATACTGTATCTGCTCCAATGTCTTTATTACTGCTGTCCATTCTTTTGTTCATTTATTTATTCATTCAGTAAATTGACTATGTGCTCTAAAAAGATTAACAGACACCGATGCTATTTACTGGCTTAGAAGGTAAATACCTTCCAGGGCTCTTCAAGTTCTTCACAGCTGGGCTTGTTCCGATGCTGGAATTTGTGAAGTGGATTCCTCCCTCCGCTGGTGTGGTAGTTCGGATGACCTTCAAGATCTCACCCAACACTGAGATGTTAAACTTCTGCAATTAATCAAAGCAGATATAAAAGCTAGAAATGTGCTCCCTGGCCCCTAAGCACCTCTAGTGAGCTTATTTGGACGTAGAAACAGTACTGTTTTATCTGATGGAGGGGCTTCTTTGGGGGTGTAGGGTTGCCAGTTGTGATAAAGTGGAGACCCGTATGCTTGGGGAGGTTGTGATGACAGAACTCTCCTTTCGGGGATGGCAGGGAGGAACCAGGTGGGATGGAAGCCGGCTTTCGGGAGAAGGAAGTGTTCGTGAAAAGAGAGTGTGGCCTGATGTGTGGGAAGCTGCAAACAGCAGAACCACGAACAGGGAAGGGAGCTCCAATCACCTTGACCTCCGTGGAGCCAGGATTCAGGCGGGCTGGAGGTGCTGCGTGAGTGTGGGGGTGGGTGGGGGTGGGCTGGCACTGGTGTACAGGAGCAGTGACACAAGCGCAGTGGGGACACTGATGTCTCAGCAGTTTCCATATGCAATCTCTTTTATACAGGCTTCTCTGTGCACCCCATTCACCCAGACCCACTTTCCAGTTAGGGACCTTAGCCCACTGTCTCCTCTTCTGCAAATCTGCCAGTCCAGCCACTGAGAGGGTCAAAGTCTACAGCTCTTTTTCTTTTGACATCTTCCTAACCAGAGGTGGAAGCTTCCTGTAATTACTGTTAATCGCCTGGAAAATTCCTCCTTTGGTTTCCAGTGACAAATGAAATGATATAGTGGGCTCCTCACAGGGGATGCAGATTTGAGGCATCTTGCTGGGAATACATCCTCTAGAGTCACTGGGTCTTGTTTGCACATTCTTCTGGAGGGTCTCAGGTGGCTCTTTTTGGTTCTCTAGGTGATGCAATTTTAGCATGCCTGGATTCCTATTCTCACTACTGGAGAAAAAAAATATCCTTTTTAAAAAATGCGCTTGGTTAAAAGGTGAAACAGATGATAGTCTTGGAGTCTGCAACTGTGATATTGGCTGGCTGGATGAGAATGTGAATCTACACTAGAGGAACCTCGTAGAATCTGGGATCCAGGTGGGCCTGCCTTTGGGGTGAGGTGCCTATGCCCTCTCCTCACTTGTCCTCAGTAGACCTTAGTCCTGATGGTGGCTTAGCAATGACAGACACAGTGCTGGGTCTACAGAACACAGGAGGCTGGGTTGGTTATACAAAATTGCCCTCCTTCTTCACGCCACATCATCATTTATCACGTTCTAGTTTAGAAGCTAAAGACCTTAGCTTGAATCTCAGCTTCACCGCTTTTTATCCATATGGCTTTGGCCAACTTCTCAGAACATCAGTTTTTCTACTTACATAAAAGGGATAATATCTCTTCCTCACAGCCTCCTAGTGCTCATGTGAGGCCCAAATGAGGTCGAGGCTGGAAAAATGCCACGTAAACCTGAAAACTACATAAATACAGGTGTTCTTAAAAAGACCTTTTAGGAATTAACGTCAAAGGGGATTCTGAAATGCTCGTTCCCTGAAATGACGCAGCCTCATGTTCTAATATCTAGCAAAAATGTCAAGCCTGTATGAGAGTAGACGTAAGCAATGGAATTTCACAACTCTTCTTTATTTTAACTAGCAAGTGAAACTTCTAGATGGCAGTGAGCCACAGGTAAATGGGAGAGGGCATGGACTCTTTGAGGATCTTAAATCCTCCAGGGTGGAAAGGATGGAAGAGGGACAAGGAACCAGAAAGGCAGCTTTGTGACTGTCAGGTGTTTGGATGATTGCGGAGAGCAGAGAAAAAGCTTCACCTGCTCTGCAGTTGCCCCTGGGTATTGGTGAAATTTAACCTCTGGTGGCAACACAAGGGTCTCTAAACTCAAGTCAGCTCAACTCAAGCATCTCTCAGATGCTTACACAGATTCAGACTCAGGGAAGAACTTCCCAATGTGGAGAGTTGTAAAAAGCCTGGAAAGGGCCCCCCTGGATGGCCTTGGAAGCAATGGGGCTAAACGAATAAAGCCATGCCCACATTAGGTGTGGATGCGTGGATGAGACTCTAGCATTTTCCTTCCTGGTGGTTCTTCTCTACTCACGCTCACTCAGTGACTTGTCCCTGGTGCCTGGCTCACTGTTGGCCCTGATGCAGAGTGAGGTAGTGCCATTCTCTAACAGTCCAAGCAGAAACAACAACAACAACGTGAATGAGGTTAGTGGAAAAATAAAGAAAAGAATAAATGATCACGCCATGAGTGCAAATGTTTGACGCAGTGCTGCTCCCCAAATTGACAAGCCTTGGTCTCCTTCAGCAGGCCCTTGGAGCCTTCCTCCTTCCCCGGGTATCTTTTGCAGGTGGCTCTGCACACCTGGAAGCCACAGAGTGAGCTGGGGCTGCGCTTGGGGCCGGAGGGAGGAGGTGAATAAGAGACAGTGGTCACCCTTAAGGAGCGACCTTAAGACAGGAATTTCCACGTTTCTCTGAAAGCCCCATTTGACCTTTCAGATCAGTGTGGCGAGCCCATTTCCTGGGCCTCAGCCCTAAGGTGATTCCAGATAAACACAGCTGACTTAAAAAAAAATTATTACCGTAGCAAAATATACATAATATAATTTACCACTATAACCATTATTAAGTATATATAGTTCATCGCATTAAGAAGATCCACATTGTTGTGTAGACATCACCACCGTCCATCTGCAGACCTTTTTCATCACCCTAAACTGAAACTCTGCACCCATTGAACAATAGCTCCCCACTCCCCACCCCCTAGCTCCTGGCAGCCACCATTCTGCTTTCTGACTCTAGGAATTTGACTATTCTAGGGATTTCCTATAAGTGGAATCATGTTGTCTTTGTCTTGTTGTAACTGGCTTATTTTACTTAGCATAATGCCCTAAAGGTTCATCCTTGTTGTAGCATGGGTCAGAGTTTCTGTCGTTTTTGAGGATAAATAATATTCCATTGTATGGGTAGACCACATTTGTTTAGCCATTCATCTGTCACTGGATACCTGAGTTGCCTCCACTTTGTACACAGCTGACTGCTGAACTGAACTCCATTGCGATGGAAGAGTGGAGTCAAATCTACACAAAGTTTGGGTGAGCTCCTGCTGCTGTGAGATGAGGGGAGGGCATGTAAAGCACACCGTAGGTATTGCTGCCCACTTGAAAATTCTTTAACATTAAGTAACTGATACATCCTGATAGTGGGAAATTTGGAAAATGCAGAAAACTGTCAAAAAGAGTAACAATCACCTCTAATCTCTGTGCCCAGAGATAACACAGGTGATCTATTTGTGTGAAGAAGAGATTAAAAGAGAAAAGAGCAAGAGGCTGATGCCAGCTCTCTCTGGAAATCAGTTAGCTGTGCTGTTTCCTTTGCCATGCCTGCTTGGGGGAAGTCCCCTGGGGACAAGCCCCTACACCTTTGAGGGCCAGAGATCCCGCATCCTGCCGCTGCGGCTCACCTGAGCCACAGAAGCGGCCAATGCCCAGGCTGGGGTGGGTGCTGTACAAACATTCTGCATAATTTGCAGGGCAATGTGAGTTTACTTCCACATGATGTAAAGCTGCAGGGTTTGTTGTGTGGACATGGCAGCTCTAGCCCAGTGTACTAGGCCTATTTATGGAGGAGCTTCCCACTGCCAGGACCCCCTGCTCCTCTCCCGCGGAGGGGCACCGTCCTGGGAGGGCTGCGGGATGCTTTCTCGGGCAGCTCACTCCATGTACCGGGAACCACCGGCCTTTTCCACCTGCCAGCTGGGGATTTTCGGAGCCAGGAAGGAACAAGGAACCTCTATGTGCTGGGGCAAAGGGAGCAATCCCAGGTAGCGGGTGGACGGGGCAATATTATCCCAAGGGAACAGGAGAGAAATGTAATCCTCTATTTCCAATGACTCTTTGAATTGAAACTTCATTCAATTTGGGCCCCTTTCCCCCAAAACACTGGTGTCTGTGCTGTAGTCAGTATATGCCAGCAATTCCAACACATTAAAATTCACATTCCTTCCCACCTTCCTTTTCTCCTACTTGGCACAAACCGTCACTGTGCAATGGCACTGGGTCATGGGCCCTGACAACCGCAAGGGCAACCTGCTCCCTGCCCAGCCCTCTGCAGTTCCCTGGGGCCTTTCATGGGCACAAGTGATCCCGTTCGCTCCCGTCACTCCTCCCGCAGGGCAGAAAGTGTTCGATCTTTATCTTAAGACAGAATCCCAGGGGGACTGACCGGCCTTACACAGATCATACCCGGTGGTTTACTTTTATTTTTATTTTCCTTTTGAGATGGGATCTTGCTCTGTCACCCAGGCTGGAGTGCAGTGGCATGATCAGAGATAATTGCAGCCTTGACTTTCCCCGGCTCATGCCATCCTCCCAGCCTCCTCAGTAGCTGAGATCACAGGCACATGCCACCATGCCCAGCTAATTTTTAAATTTTTTTTATAGAGATGGGGGTCTCATTATGTTCCCCAGGCTGGTCTTGAACTGCCGAACTCACACATTCCTCCCATCTTGGCCTCCAAAAGTGCTGGAATTACAGGCATGAGCTACCATGCTCACCCTTGGTTTATATTTTTCAAGCCACTTTTACCCTTTTTTTTTTTTTAAAGTTGTGGCAAAATACACATAACATAAAATTGATTGTTAGTGACGTTTAGTACAAATTGGGACATTGTGCAGCCATCACCACTATCTAATTCCAGAACATTCTCATCCTCCCAAAGGAAATCCCGTACCCCCTATCTGTACCGAGAGCCATTATTATCTCTCTAGGCCACATACACAACATGTCCCTGAATATGAGGCCCATCAGGGTGCTGTTTCAGAAAATGCTAATTTGAATGTACAAACTTTTAAGGCAATCATGTTATTTTAGTGATACATATATATGTATGTATGTTTTAAATCACATACTGTGTAAAAGAACATTTAAAAATACTGCTTTCCCCAACTCTCCCATTTCTGAAACATTCATTTCATGTGAAACATCATGTTTACCCTCACCTTTGACATCCATGTTCTTCTGGTCACTAGAACTCTGCATCTTGGTTCCCCATCTCTGGCAAATATCATTGTTCCCACAGTCAAGAGAGTTAGCTGCTGCTTCTTAATCCAGGAGGTGTTTATGTTTTTGATAATAGCTTTTCTTGAGATATAATTCAAATACCATAAAATGCACCCGTTTAAAGCGTGCCATTTGCTGAATATTGTATATCCCCACATCTGTGCAGCATCACATCATGTAGCTCCAGAGCTTTCTTATCCCTGCTGAGGGAAACCCAGTGATCATTAAGCAGTCACTTCCCATCCCTCCTTCCCGCTGCCCCTGCAACCACTGATCTATGTTCTGTCTCTATAGATTTACCTATTCTGCATATCCCGTATCAGTGGGATCATACACTGTGTAAAAAAAAACCGCAAACTGTTTTCCTCTGCTCTCACTCCATAACAATCGACATGGAAGACTTCTGTGACCCCCAAAGATGTGGGGATTTCTCCCACCTGCACGTCAGCAGTCAATTCTGCAGCAGAGACCAGCTGAGTGCCTTCTAATTCAATTCAGACACCATCCACCTGGAGACAGCTCGGATCCCACAGGCTGAGGGCTCAGTCCCTAACATTGCCCCCCAATTTCAATGCCGATCACAAGTCCCAGGTTGTTTTACCGGTGCTTCTAACCCACTGGTTATACATTGAGGTTCTCATGATCCCCTCTCTGGGTTCAACTAACTTGCTAGAGTGGGTCACAGCGCTCAGGGAAACACTGGCATATAAAAGAGAGTGTAAGTTACAGGTGATGAGATGCATACGGTAAGGTATGGGAAGGCGTATGGAGATTCCAAACCCTCCCCAGGCTCGTCACCCCTCAGGAACCTCCAATTTTCTGCCATTTAGAAGCTCTTCAAAACCTGTCCTTTTGGGTTTTTATGAAGGCTTCATTATGCAGCATGACTGATTAATCCAGTGGCTATTGGTGATCAATTTAACCTTCAGCTCCTCTTCTGTCCCTGGAGGTTTGAGGAGTGGGGCTGAAAGTCCCAACCCTTTAAATCCTGCCTTGGTCTCCCTGTGACCAGCCCCATCCTGCTGCTATGCAGGGGCTGCCAGCCACCAGTCACGCAAAAGGACATCGTTTTGGAGATTCCAACTATCTTAGGAGTTGTATTCCAGGAAACAGGATTGAAGACCAAATAGATATTTTACAGTATCACCTTCAGTGTGTGGCTTTTTGCGACTGGCCTCTAGTACTTTGCACAATGCTTTTGAGGTTCCTCCACCCTGTAGCATGCGGCAGTGCCTCAGTCCTTTTTATGGTGGAATCGTGTTCTCTTGTAAGGATTTACTGCCTTTTGTCCATCCATTCATCAGCTGATGGACATTTGTTTGGACAAAAGGCTGTTTCCACCCTTTGAATCTTGTGAATAGTACTGAATACTACCATGATTCTTTTATTAACCACTCTTTGCAGTATGATTACCCACATTTTACAAAGGAGCACTGAGGCAAAGCAATGGGGACCTTGGTGTGATCCTGCGCCCTCTTCTGTCCAGCATGTCAGGGCTGGTCTTAGGGCAGAGTCCCTAGCTGACGCTGGAGAAAGAGGAAGAGGCTGATTCCCCAATAAACCAGGGAGAGCCCAGGCGCACTTAACTGCTGAGAGGCCTGCTGAGGGCCTTTTGCTCACTTTTCATGCCTGTGTAAAGTGTGAGAAATAGAAGTATGTCTATGTCAAGAGTACATGTTCCTAAGGGCCCTTTCCTGGGCTTGCTCAGGTTTGGTGGTGACAGGAAGCCTCGCAGAATCCAGCTGCAACTCTGCTGGGGACACGGTCCAAGGAGCAACCACAGCAAAGCCCTGATCTGAACTCCTGATGCTCAGGGGAAGCCATGGGCCCCTCCTGTCCTGCTCTTTTGTCCTTCACGAAGCTCAGCCTGTGGTGGCTCCTTCTGATCCCAGCAGGTGAGTGTCTGTCACCTGTCATTGTAAGACTTCATCTCACACCTGTCGGCTCACAAAAAAACTGTAGGGAGGAGTCTGCAGGTGGACAAGCTGCAGGGGACTTCAGAGGCCACCAGCCAGGTGGCTGGTTCCACTGGGAGAGGTGGAGGGGCAGTCACAGCTCTAACGTGAGCGTCTGTGTCACCTTAAATGTCTTCAAGCTTCACTGTCCTCAGCTGCAAAACGCAAATAGTGTTGTGGACCTCCCTGGCCTATTGTGAGAATTAAATGAAAGTTTGTGACCAGCATCTAGGATACAGGAGGCACTCGGGACACAGTGTTCTGTCACAGATGGTGCTGACACGTTTGTCTGGGATTTGGAGCTGTAGTTCTCGGCTTGCTTAAACAGCAGAGCCCTGAAGGGGTGAAGCTGTTTGCTGAACACAGTGAAAATTGACATGAGCGATGTCATAGAAACATTTTGAAACGCTTTGTTTATCTGATAGGAAGTAGCAAATATCCACAGTTTAAGAAAAAATTGGGGAGGTTCCCAAAGCAGTCAATTTCCACGTTAGCATGATTGGTTTATCGGACAAGTGGGTGGGAACGGGAGACTGCTTCCCCTGGTCAGGTTCACTGCAATGTTGAATCCCTTCTCCCTGCAGCCCCCCACCTAGACCAGGTGTCTCCCCCACTTCCCCATCCCCGCCCCCATGGGGCTACTCCACGTGGAGCTGAATCTTGTCTCTAGATTCAGCTTTCCCCACTTCCCAGCCTCTGCCTCTTCCTCTTGCCGCCGCCCCAAAACCTGGCAGTACTATTTCCCACTCTTTTCTTCTCTGATGCCACAAAGCAGCTGAACTTTCCTGAGCTCTGACCCCACAGCCTGCTCACGCTGTGCTCAGCTCTGATAGACACCATCATCTGCCATCCTCAACAGTGTTTTGAGATAGGTTCTGGAGTAGCAGCTCCATTTTACAGATGAGCAAACTGAAGCTCAGTGAGGCTAAATGGCTCTGATTTGTGGCAGGTGGAGAGGAAGCCAAGCACCCACCTTCCAGGGCTCCCGTAGAGCCCCTCTCCTCTCCCAGCCCCACGGTGTTGCCGCAGGGAGGCTCCCACACCCAGGCTGAGGACCGGCTCTTCAAACACCTCTTCCGGGGCTATAACCGCTGGGCGCGCCCCGTGCCCAACACCTCGGACGTGGTGATCGTGCGCTTCGGACTGTCCATCGCTCAGCTCATCGACGTGGTGCGCCTGTCCTCCCATCCCTGGCCCCCAGGAAAAAGAGATCCCAGACCACCCACCGCATCCCCAGTCCCTTCATCTCTCCCATCCGGGCCCTCACGCAGTGACCTGGGGTCACGGTGGGGACGGCTCTTCCCGGGGCTGCTACGCCCTCCCCTCTCCCAGCTCTGGAGCCCCCTTCTAGGAGGGCGTTGATTGGAAGCAGTGTCTGTGTGAATCTGAGTAAGATACCCAGAGAATCTGAGTAAAGGTGGGGGTGTCAGAGTGGATGTCAGGTGGGCTGGGCTTGGGATGTCCATCTTATCAGAGGGTCTGAAACAGTCCATCCCACTCCACCCTGTCTTCTGGGCTCACCCCTCTAATTGCTCCGCTTTCTTTCTGGGCCAGGATGAGAAGAACCAAATGATGACCACCAATGTCTGGCTAAAGCAGGTGAGGGCCCCTCCTTCAGTCCAGGCGGGAGGGGACTGGGAACCCGTGGACCCCAGAGCCCCCCAGGACTTCTTCGCTAGTGAGAGACCAGGGAGCAGCAAGACCCTGAACTCACAGTTTACCAAGCAGGTGCCACGTGGGGTGTTCCCAAAACTGACATTTTCCACAAGGCCTGTGTTCTGTGGCTGGACTTGAGTCTAGTGCCTGAGAAGGTCACCTGCAAGAGCCAAGCAGTGCTTCCCTGGTAGCAGGCATCTGTTCATCCCTGTTACTTGGGAATCCTCCCCAAAGCCCCACGGGGGTGGGGGTTCATTCTGCCCCTTTTATAGCTCAGGAGAGCAGGAAGCAGAGAGCAGCTGGGCTGGAAAAGGGGGCCCAGCTGTTCTTGACCCCAAGCCCCAGGCTCCTCCTATGGGAGAATGCCGAGTGCTTAATGTCTGTGCTGCCACCCAAATACCCCAAACTTACAGGCTCCCAGTAGCTGCCAGCTCACTGGATCTCACAGCTTTACGGCCAGGAATACGGGCAGTTTCTTCTGCTTTATATGGCGACCACTAGGATCACTTGGTGGTATATGACTGAGGGTTCGTCTGGTCTGGAGGGTCTAAGACAGCTTAATTCACACATCTGTCCCTTAGCAGGGATGTCTGGAAGGCTCTGGAAGGTTCTGGAAGGCTGGACTCAGATGGGCCCCTCGCCCTCTTCAGGCACCCTCAGAGTCTCTCCAGCAGGGGAGTCGGACTTCTTGCCTCGTGGCTCAGGGATTCCAGAGTGAGGGACCCAAGAGACAGGAAATAAAAGAAAGTGGGCCAGCATTAATCTTGTTGTACACTACTGGTCAAGGCAGTCTTGAAGCCCGGTTAGATTCAGGAAAGGGAGCATGGATCCCGCTTAGGTTGGAGGCTTCCCTCTTTCTGAAGACGTCATCTAGGTGCTGTTAGGGATCACTTGGCTCATCTTACAGATGTGTCAGCTGAGGGCCAGAGGGAAGCAGGAACTTGGAAGCTACCCAGTCATGCTGTGTGTGTATGCAGGGAGGCAGGCCTAGAACCTGGTTGCCACAATTGTCCCCAGAGGCTGCTCGCCTGGGCTTCAGGGTTGGGGTGGCAGGGCAAGGAAGGAGTACTGGAATTGAGTCAGGCCAATCAGCAACGCCTCTGATTGGCTAGTGATACTGGGTGAGCTATGTAACTGCTCAGAGCCTCAGTTTCCTCATCTGCAAAATGGGGATAACACATTCTACTGCCACATGCCTGGGAGGATTAATGTACCCCAGTGTGGTATGGTGCCTCAAAATGATGGTTGGACCTGAAAACTTGACAGATGGACTACGGAGAGAGAATAGGAACCTGATGGAGGTAGGGGCACTGCCTGGGACCTGCCTTGGTGGAGGCGGGGTGGGGCCCAGTCTGGTGGGACCCCTGCGGGGCACTTGGGAGCGCAGCTTGAAGGTCCTTGGGTAACTCCACTGCCTCGCTGTATGCCTCTGGCAAGTTGATTCTCCTGTCTCTGGTCCTCGGTTTGCTCATCTGCTAAATGGGGAGATGCATTCCCTGCTTGCCTCTTCCATGGAGGCTTTTCCTAGATGGAGAGTATAAAACAAACCATAAAGTGTGATGCACTAAAAATGAGAGACTTCACTCGAGATGAGTGAGGTGGCCCGCTGGGGTCATCCAGCCGGGGATAGGCAGCACGAAGACTAGAGGCAGGACCAGGGTGAACTAGGACCTGGACGGCTAAAGTCCAGGCAAAGCGAGAAGGTTGGTTACTTGCTCAGAGCCCTTTCCCAGCCCGCAGTTCCCTCCACTCTTCCGGGCTGGATGGGGAGCCCTGGCTGCTCCGAAGGGGCTGCTCGGCCCAGTTCTGCTCTGGGCACCCTCAGGCTGCGCTAGCTTTGCCCTAGGCTGCTCCCTGGAAACGAGGTTGACACAAGTCCCTCCCCACATACAGGAGTGGAGTGACCACAAACTGCGCTGGAACCCCGCAGATTTCGGCAACATCACATCCCTCCGGGTCCCTTCCGAGATGATCTGGATCCCCGACATTGTCCTCTACAACAAGTAGGAAGCCACTGGGGTCCTGGGGGGAGGATGGGAGGACCCCTGCCGGGGTGTGCCCCTGGAGACAGCTTCCTCGCCTCCCTCATGACTGCTCTGCGGAGGTTGTCTCCCCCTGACCATTCCTTCATTTATTTCCTCTTGTTCTTGCTCTACACCAAAATGAGTGGCAGCTGAGCACCCGTTGGGTATCAGCACCTGGCACTGCGTTAGAGGGACACAGATTTGTCAATACTGAGTATTCTTTGAAAAAAGTGGTGCAGGCTCAAAGAACAATCCCGTGGGGTTGGAGCTGTGGGGGCGGCAGTGTTGTGCAGATGGGCAGGCAGCAGCAGGCCAATACCTTCAAAGGGCATGCGCCCACTTGCTATGTGGTTTTCTTTCTCCCAATCATGTTATTTTACGGTTGTCTTCAAAACTAAAAAGGAGTAATCTTTGACCACAGTGACAAGAGGTTGGTAGAAGGGAGAGTAATCTGAAGAGAGTCCCAGTGGACAAAAATAAATCAATAAAAAAGTTTTGGGCCGGACGTAGTGGCTCCCGCGTATAATCCCAGCACTTTGGGAGGCTGAGGCGGGCAGATCACAAGGGCAAGAGATCAAGACCATCCTGGCCATCACCATGAAACCCTATCTCTATTAAAAATACAAAAATTATCTGGCTGTGGTGATGTGTGCCTGTAGTCCCAGCTACTTGGGAGGCTAAGGCAGGAAAATCGCTTGAAGCCAGGAGGCAGAGTTGCAGTGAGCATAGATCATGCCCTTGCATTCCAGCCTGGCAACAAAGTGAGACTCCATCTCAAAAAAAGAAAAAGGAAGTTTTGATAGAATAAATAGACATCTATGATTTCATTTCTGTGTTTGGTATCAGGCAATTCTTCCCTTAGAAGTTAAGAAGTTAAGATGAAAAGATGGTGTTATGTTCATCTAAAAATGTTTTCTAAGGTGGGGCTGTAAGGAGGATGGCTTGAGTTATAAATAGGCGTGAAAAAGGGCTCTGTGGTCAAATAATTTAGGATAACACCCACACCCCTCCCTGCCTAAGGCCTTTGGAAAATGGCAGAGCACAATAGCATTTAAAAAAATGGTTTTAGAAGTTCAGCAGCAAAGACAGCCACCTAGTCCAGCACTTCCCAATTCATTTGATCCTACTTTGGAAATGCTATTTTTAAAGAACGAAATAAAAGGAAAAACGACCCATTTCTGGATTTTGCTCTTCAGATGGGTCAGATGGTTTTCTACACTGTCCAGTTCTGGTCAGAACTAAGCCCTTTCACTGAAGCCATTTTGTCGAACACATGTTCATCACGGGTTCTCACACTGGCAGCTCTCACACCGCAGGTACCTAGTGTTTGCGGCTGCTGTGGGACTCACAAACTCTCCACCCCATGATAGCTCTGTGCCCATAGCTGGCACCCAGGATCCTTCTGGTTTCTGCTTCCTGTACATGTGGCAGAGGTCAGGAGCAAAGTCCTACATCAAACATGACTTTGAGTTTGAGGATTAACAAGACTTCAGCCAGTGTTACTTGATTATTACAAGAAATTTTTCTGGGGGACAAAATTCCAAGCCAAAGTCATGCTGACATTTAGAGAAGGGTCCCCTCCACCCAGATACCCCACTCAAGGTTAACTGGAAGGCCTCAAAGAATTTGCAACGTTCCTTCCCCAAAATGAGCACATGTTGCCATCTAGCGGTCATTGTGTGTGAAAAACAAAATGCTTAAAACAAATTTTTTTGGCCGGGTGCTGTGGTTCATGCCTGTAATCCCAGCACTTTGGGGGGCCCAGACGGAAAGATCATGAGGTCAAGAATCGAGACCACCCTGGCCAACATGGTGAAACCCCGTCTCTACTAAAAATACAAAAATTAGCAGAGTGTGGTGGCTTGCGCCTCTAGTCCCAGGTATTTGGGAGGCTGAGGCAGGAGAATCACGTGAATCCAGAAGATGGAGGTTGCAGTGAGCAGAGATCGCGCCACTGCACTGCAGCCTGGTGACAGAGTGGGACTCTCTCAGAAAAAAAAGATACTTTTTTTTTAAACAAGGTATTTGTTACTCTCTTTCAAAGTTCCTATTTCCAGCCTGCCTATATCTCTACCATGAAACTACTTCATGGGGGAAAAAAAGCCCCGTGTTTCCAAGCACTCTGCTGATTTCTTGGAGTTTAGGATTGACTGTGGGAATTGGAGGGGGAGGGAGGATGGTTAAGACTTAAGCAGGAGCCCCCCAGCCACCTCCTGGCAGAATCAGGGACTGCGGCCTCCAGGAAGCGCTGCCTGACAGGTCACCATTATTCCAGTGTCCCCAGACCCCTTGTGGGTCCTCCAATGCCTAGTTCCATGATACCCCCGACTCGCCCTCTGCTCTTAGCCGCAGCACGCCCTGTGAGTTTTGCACTTCCCACCTGCTCCCTGTGGGACCCTCTACCGGTAAGGCTCTCTGCCCATTTCTCAGCCAAATCCTCGCTTCGGCAGGCTTCTCCATGACCCTGCTCGCTTTCCAGAAGGGAGTTTCCCCACAAAGCGTCCAGGGAACACCCGGACCACCCTCCTAGTGTTGGCAACTGCCTCCCTGTTGTTGCAGTGGTTCCTGGAGACGTCTCATTTCCTCACGACTCCTTAAGGACAGGGACCTTATCTCATATTCCTCTTCTGCACAGTTCTGTTACAGGCCCTAGTGGATGAGGCTGGCTCAAAAACACATGTTAAATGGATACACTCAAGGGAGTACCTTCACCCGCAAAGATGTTTTGTCTCTTCTGAGCAAGGATGATCCCAGGTGGAAATGGGTCCCTCTCCTGAGGGGCCGACTCATCATCTGCTTGGGAAGAAAAACAGAGACATAGATATCACTCTAAAATATTAAACCTTCAATGCGCAGGACAGCTCTGACCCCCCCCCGTGATGTCACCTCCACCCCAACCAATCAGCAGCAAGCACATAGCCACACCCACCCCTTCCCCAAAACTGCCTTTGAAAAACTTCTAACCTGCGAACTTTGGAAGACATGCTTTGAGTGCTAACTCCATCTCCCACATGGCGTGGCTGGCCTTGTGTCTATTCAACTCTTTCCTTACTGCAAACAAAATAAAATATTACATGAATAAAAACAGGCAATCAAATGACATGTACCCCAGATCACAAAGCTATATATTTGTCATACATTGATAGATGATATACAATCATTTTACATTATATATATAAACATCAAAATGTTATTAGTGGTTGTTTTTAGAATTCTTGGTACTTCCCTCTATTCCTCACAATCCCTCCTTTTGTAATTAAGAAGGTAGTAATTGACAAGACAGCTCAGTGGCTATACCTGTGTGTGCTGGGGGAGACTTACATACTTGCATAAATAAACCCTGCCATCGTGGCCAGGTCTGACTTGGTTCTTGGGGGACCCCTGCTGCCGGCTCTCTGAGCAGCCTGGCTCAGGCAGGTGGGTGTGCAAGGGTCCCCCCAGCTCTTCTCCTCTCCCCAGTGCAGATGGGGAGTTTGCAGTGACCCACATGACCAAGGCCCACCTCTTCTCCACGGGCACTGTGCACTGGGTGCCCCCGGCCATCTACAAGAGCTCCTGCAGCATCGACGTCACCTTCTTCCCCTTCGACCAGCAGAACTGCAAGATGAAGTTCGGCTCCTGGACCTATGACAAGGCCAAGATCGACCTGGAGCAGATGGAGCAGACAGTGGACCTGAAGGACTACTGGGAGAGCGGCGAGTGGGCCATCGTCAATGCCACAGGTACCTACAACAGCAAGAAGTACGACTGCTGCGCCGAGATCTACCCCGACGTCACCTACGCCTTCGTCATCCGGCGGCTGCCGCTCTTCTACACCATCAACCTCATCATCCCCTGCCTGCTCATCTCCTGCCTCACCGTGCTGGTCTTCTACCTGCCCTCCGACTGCGGCGAGAAGATCACGCTGTGCATCTCCGTGCTGCTGTCGCTCACTGTCTTCCTGCTGCTCATCACCGAGATCATCCCGTCCACCTCGCTGGTCATCCCGCTCATCGGCGAGTACCTGCTGTTCACCATGATCTTCGTCACCCTGTCCATCGTCATCACGGTCTTCGTGCTGAATGTGCACCACCGCTCCCCCAGCACCCACACCATGCCCCGCTGGGTGAGGGGGGCCCTTCTGGGCTGTGTGCCCCGGTGGCTTCTGATGAACCGGCCCCCACCGCCCTTGGAGCTCTGCCACCCTCCAGGCCTGAAGCTCAGCCCTTCTTATCACTGGCTGGAGACCAACATGGATGTGGAGGAGCGGGAGGTTGTGGTGGAGGAGGAGGACAGATGGGCGCGTGCAGGTCACGTGGCCCCCTCCGTGGACACCCTCTGCAGCCACGGTCACCTGCACTCTGGGGCCTCAAGTCCCAAGGCTGAAGCTCTGCTGCAGGAGGGTGAGCTGCTGCTGTCACCCCACATGCAGAAGGCACTGGAAGGCGTTCACTACATTGCCGACCACCTGCGGTCCGAGGATGCCGACTCTTCGGTGTGTTGGGGTTGGGAGGGGGGCCAGCCTGGGTGGCCCCATAAGCCTAGCAGGGAACCACCTCACCCCAGAGTGTGAGCTTGGGCAGCTCAGGTCCCTCCTGTGAGGACATGCTTCCCTTGTCATGGTCCTTAGAAACATGGAATAAATGGAGAGAGAGCACGTGTGGCTGGCCACTCTAAGGACACTTATTGGCAGGTGGCAGGTTACACACCATGGGGTCAGGCATGAGCAGCTCAGCCTAACAGGAAGCCTGAGAGCTGGAGAGGGAGGACCCCAGATGCTGAACCCCGTGACTGCCTCAGGCCTCCATCTCCCACCATTGCCTTGGAGGTGGCGGGAGGTGGGGAGAACATTTCAGGAGAGACCCTGAAAGTCAGCTGTGCAGGAGCAGCCTTTGTCTTGTCTTGTATGGTCTCTTCCTCTGCCTCCTTGTTCCTGGCCTCTGGCCATTTTGCAGACTTCACTCTTCAGCCATAAATCCTGCAGATTCTTGGTTGCACCAGGTGGACTCTGCCCCCAGGCCCCTGCCATGGCACTGGCCCCTCCCTGTCCCCTGCCCCAGCCCTCATCTGCCATTGCTATGTGAGCAGGCCCCTGCTCCAGCACAAAATTCTTATCAGCCTCGGGAAGGATGAGAGGCAGGGAGGTTATTACTGGGTGGCTTTGATGACTAGATCAGAAAATTAATCATGATGTAATCCAGGAGCAGTGGGGAATCCAGGCTTCCTTGCCTAGGCTGTGAGCCCAAATTTCACAAAGCCCCTGCCCTACCCCCAGCCTGCCCGGGGTCCCAGCCACCTTCGCTGTTTCCCTCTCCCCAGCTCCAGCAGGTGGGTGAGGTGGCAACCTGTGGGCAGCTAAGTCTGGTGTTGCACTGATGTCACTGCAGGCCCCTAGGAGGACTCGTGCCCTGGGGTGGTCCTGCTGCCCTTTGCGTCCCTCTAGCCTCCTTTACCTATAGCCGGGGAGCATACTATGGACAGGTTTGGGCATGTGGAGGGGCTTTGATTCGAGGGGAATCACCAGGGGAGCTTGCTGGAGCCTTGAAACCGCTCATTGTCCCCTCCCCTCCAGTCACCCAGCTCCCTGCACTGACCTTTGCTCCCCTGGGTCTCTGTGGGGCAGTTGCTGCTGTCCCCACTGGCCATCCGTGCAGGCGCTGTGCATGGGGGGCTGCGTCTGATTCCCAGGCCTGGTCCCTGTCACTGTGCGCTGTCTTCCTCACAGGTAAAGGAGGACTGGAAGTACGTCGCCATGGTCATCGACAGGATCTTCCTCTGGCTGTTTATCATCGTCTGTTTCCTGGGGACCATTGGCCTCTTCTTGCCTCCGTTCCTAGCTGGAATGATCTGACCGCACCTCCCTCGAGTTGGCTGCCAGGGCACCACTGCTGACCATCTTTTGACCATCTCTGCTGCAGCTGCCTCTAGTGTCCCCTTTGCGGTCAGCAGGTGCCTCTCTGTGGAGTCCTGACCCTGGCCCCGGTATCGCAGGCTTCCATCCAGCTTAACAGGATTGTATCAGGGCTGAGAGCCTGCTGGACAAAAAGCCCTGTTTTGGATGCTGAGGAGCTAGGGAAGTTCTGCAGAAGGTCACAAGATGGTGGTGACCAAGTGGAGCAGAGTCGGATTCTCCTGGAGGAGCGGTGCAGACCCCAAGTGACAGAAGAGTCAACCCGGGGGATGCTGGGGCCAGGGTGATGAGGAAGGGAAGGCAGACCTCAAAGGAGGGGTCGTGGGGCAAAGGGGAGGGTTCCTTGGGGTGGAAGGGCTCTGAACGATGTTTGGATTTGGGAATGAGCCCAAAGTGCCAGAACAGCCAGGCGAGGTGGGAGCTTGGAGAGCCAGGTGGGATCTCTCTCAGCCAGGCTGGGGATGAAGTTCGGAGTCTGGCCAAGCCTGCAGGGTTCTGAGCTGGACGGTCCAGCAGGGGGGTGATACAGGCTCTTCTGGAAGGGGAGGAAGCGGGAGGCAGGGCCTGCGTGTGGAGTGGATCTTCCCTACAGGGGAGGGACGGATGGTTGGATACAGGTGACTGGGCTATTCCATCCACCTGGAAGCACCTTGGAGCCCTCAGGCTTCTCCTTGACGTCACTCCCCTCCCTTCCTTGTTGCAAAGTGGCTCTGCACCAGCAGCCCCCAGGAGGTCTGGCACAGCTGAGAGCCACGGCCTGCGGGGGCTCCATATGTCCCTACACATGCAGCAGCCAAACAAGAAAGACCATCCTGAGCCGCTCTGACCCAACTCAGACTCATCTCGTTTGCCCTATCCTCCCTCCCTCCACCCCTCCTCCCCTCCTCCCGTCCCCCCCTCCCCAGGCACCCTGTTCCCTATGCCTGGCTCCATCGGAAGGAGGCCTCACTTGGGAGCTGAAGATCTTTGCCTTCAGCTCCTTTGATTCTAAACTTCTCAAGGGCAGGGCCTCTGCCTGTTACTTTTCCCACCCCCAGCACCTAGCATGGCGCAGGGTGAGTACTGTGCTCAAGGCATTTGCTCTGAGTGGTTGAGGAGAGCAAGCTGGCTTGTTTGGGCCCCAAGACTGCTGTGCAGATGACAAAAGCTGTGGTCCCATCCCTTGCCAGCCTGCCCCATCTCCCCCAGAGCCCCGAGGTGTGTTGACCTGCCCTGAACCCTTCAGAGCAGCCTGTGTGTGCACCTTGGAAAGCACCATCCCGAAGCCCGAGTCTGCACCCAGGAGCCCAGGCCGAACGGCTGCTCCTGGGATCGGGCAGCAGACTTCTCCCCAGCTCTGTCCAGGCCCGAGAGTGGGCCCTTGGCAGCTAACAGATATGGCCACTGGGTTCTCGAAACGGCGTGGAGGCTCCAGGTAGGAAGCTGAGCAGGGGGAGCTTCCAGTTGTTCTGGTCCTAGGGGGTCTCCTCCTTCCAAACCCCGAAGTCTCTCTCCCTGACACTCCCAGGGCACACCTGCCTGCCTTTGACACCCTGGCCCAGGCCCCACCACACCTCGCTTCTCTCCCACAACCCCCCACTCATGGCTCATCTGATCTCTGGCTCCTGTCTACTTCTGTGCACGCAGCCCCAGCCTCCCCTCTCCTCCCACCTGTTCTTCGGAGGCCTCAGAGCTCTCAGGTCCAGCCTTCCAGACCCGCTGTCCTGGGACAGTGATGTTCGCTCCTGTTATCCACATCTCCCGTCCACCTTGCATGTGATAAAGAGAGTAAATAAAGCTGCATCTACTGCTCACTCAACTGTGCGGCACCCTCCTTGCCAGCCACACCTCAATATTGCCAGTGTCACCCAAGCCCCTCCAGAGCCCGGGTGGTTTGGGGGCCTCACTGGGGGAGAAATGACATGGCATTCCTCATGTGGCCACAGAGGGTACTGTCCTGGGTCCCTGGAAAGTCACCCCCAGTACCCCTGCAAGGGCAAAGGGGCCAGAGCACACCCCTGACCCAATGCCGGGTATCACTGCTCGCCCCTCCTCGGCCGATGCCCAGCGCTGGACAGCTTTGATCTCCAACCAGCATGAACATCATCAGTTTCTTCCATAGCTTGGCTCACAGTCCCCATTCTCCCCCAATGGGAAGGTCAAACAAACAAAACCAACCGCAAAGCAAATGGGACAATTTTAATTCAACCACAAGTCAAATAGAAAGAAGTTAAAAGAATGTTTATGCAAACACGCGAGAAAAGAAGGGTGCAGATGAGATTGGGGCGGGAGGGAGAAAAAAGAGGAGGAGTAAGAAAAGAGGGAAAAGGGAAAGAAAGGGAGAGTAAAGGGAGAAAGAGAAAGGGACAGGAAGAGAGTGGATTTGGTCCAAGGTCCTGTCCTGGCCCATCTCTCTGCTCCTTCCCCTGATGCTTGGTTTGACAACAAAGCGTCCCGTGCCCAGACTCCCAATTAGCTTGTTCCTGGTCTATGTCCCAGGTCCTCTCTCAGGAGGGCACATGCTGTCAGTCCAGACCAAACTCACATTAAATAAATTCCAATATACACTGTACAAGAACCCCAGGCCCATCCCTCATCTCACTGGCTGCCTGACCCCCAAAACAAAGCTCCTCCCCAGCTTCTCTGTGCATCAGGGGACATCTGAGGGCTGAAGAGGAAGGGAAAGGAATAGCTTGGTTCCCAAATTGACCTGCCATGTCCATATATAAAGCTAGGGGCACCACGTGACCCTCCCGCCCCCATGACCCGCCTGCATGGACTGGGTGGGGTAGGAAGGAGTGGCCAGGCAGCAGCAGTGCCCCCTCCAAGCCATCTGTGTCACCCTCACCCTGTGTCCATAGCCCAGAGTCCCCGCTGTCCAGCTGCTGCCTGAGCAGTACAGCCTGGGGTAGGGGTAGGGAGAGGGGGTCGTGCAAACTGGTAAGGGAAAGTGACTCCCTTGGCCTTCCCCCTGGAAGACCCACATGACCAACAGCAAGGCAGGGGAGGTACATGGCAGGCAGGGGCGGAAGACGCAGGCAGGTGGCTCCCACCCTCCGTCACTCTGCAGGCGGGTGGGCCAGATTGGCCAGAACCTTGGCCTGGTCGACGGCATCGAGCAGGTTCTTGGCGTCCACGGCCAGGGTGTGTGAGGCTGTCAGCATCTGCCTCTTGCACTCCTCACTCAAGGAGGTCACGGCGTTCTGCTGTGCCAGCCGCATCTTGTTAATGAGCTCTGCCAGGTCTTTGTTGAGCAGTTTCTGGGTGCCCTCGATCTGTAAAAGATCACACAGAAGAGGCTGAGGGGGCCACAAAGTCCATGCCTGGAGGATGGGGAAGCCACAGAGGTATCTGCCTGCGTGCTGGCCAAGGCAGTCAGAAGTCCCCTGGAAGCGAATGGAGCAGGCCGAGTGCAATGCCCATGCAGGTGGAGCCAAGTCTACAAGGACTGACACCACAGCCGTCCCACCCCCGGCCCAGCCTGGGTAAGGCCAGTCTGACTTTTCCTTCATGACAACAGCCCCTCACGCTTTCTAAAATGTGAATCTGATCATACCACTGTTTTTTGTTTTTAGAGACAGTTTTGCTCTTGTCACCCAGGTTGGAGTACAGTGGCATGATCTCAGCTCACTGCAACCTCCACCTCACGGGTTCAAACAATTCTCCTGCCTCAGCCTCCTGAGCAGCTGGGATTACAGGCACCCAATACTACGCCTGGCTAAGTTTTGTATTTTTAGTAGAGATGGGGTTTCACCATGTTGGCCAAGCTGGTCTCAAACTCCTAACCTCAGATGATTCTCCTGCCTGGGCCTCCCAAAGTGCTGAGATTATAGGTGTGAGCCACCACGCCTGGTCATCCACTGAAGTCTTGAACCCCTCAAAATCATCCACGAGGATTAGAATCAACTTATTCCAAATGGTTAATGATATTCTGACCTCTTCCCATGAATCACAAATGTTCCTAATATTACCTAGAATGGTAAATCCTTTCCAAAATGTTTTCAATGGACTTTGCCCAGATCCATAAGAGAAATCACTATATATGGCAGCTATAGCCTAGAAATGTATTTCTTAAATAACAGAAATTGAAAGTAGAAATTACTCCTTGATTCATGGGCTGCAAAAGAGATGCAGTGAAGACATTAATCTTCTATATCTCCGTCCGATATCTTGAGTGAGTAGACACATTGTCAATTAGTAAGATTTTGAACATCTTTTTCTGAGTAGTAGACCTCAACAGTAGGCTTATGATAATCAGCAAAACATGCTGTAAACAGATGTGCAGTCATCCAAACTTCGTTGTTACATTTACAGAGCACAGGCAGAGTAGATTTTACCTTTTTTGGAGGAGTTTTGCTCTTGCTGTCCAGGCTGGAGGGCAATGGAGTGATCTTGACTCACCACAACCTCCGCCTCCCAAGTTAAAGCAATTCTCATGCCTCAGCCTCCCTAATAGCTGGGATTACAGGCATGCCCCACTACGTCCAGCTAATTTTGTATTTTTAGTAGAGATGGGGTTTCTCCATGTTGGTCAGGCTGCTCTTGAACTCCTGACCTCAGGCGATCCACCCACCTCGGCTCCCAAAGTGCTGGGATTACAGGCGTCAGCCACCGTGCCTGGCAGATTTAGCTTAATTCCTAAGGGCCCTAAGATTGTCAGAATGCCCAATAAGCACGGCTTCAACCAGTCACTTTAGCCCCTAGCAAGAGTCACTCTGTTGTTTGAAGTTTTGAAGCCAGGCATGAACATCTCCTCTAGCTATGAAAGTCCTAGATGGCATCTGCTTCCAACAGAAAGCCATTCATCTACATTGAAAAATCCGTGGTTTAGCAGAGCCACCTTCATTGGTGATCTGAGCCAGGTCTTCTGGAGAACCTGCTGCAGCTTCTCCATCAGCATGTGCTGTCTCACATTGCCCTTTCATGTTACAGAGGTGGCTTCCCTCCTTAAACCTCATGAACCAGCCTCTGCTAGCTTCCAGCTTTTCTTCTGCAACTTCCAGAACCTCTCAGCCTTCATAGAATTGCAGGCCTTGATCTGGATTAGGCTTTGGCATAAAGGAATATTGTGGCTGGCTTGATCTTCTATCCAGGGCACTCAAACTTTCTCCGTATCAGCAGTAAGGCTGTTTCACGTTCTTATCATTCATGTGTTCACTGCAGTAACTCTTAATTTCCTTCAAGAACTTTTTCTCTGCATTCACAATGTGGCTAACTGGTAGAAGAGGCTGACTTTTGGCCTATTTTGGTTTTCAACATGCCTTCCTCACTCAACTTAATTATTTCTAGCTTTTGATTTAAAGTGAGAGGTGGGCAACTCTTCCTTTTACTTAAACACTCAGAGACCACTGTAGGGTTATTAATTGGCCTAATTTAAATATTGTTGTGGGCCAAGGAAAAGGGAGGCCCAAAGAGAGGATGGGGGAATGGCTGGTTGGAGGGGCAGTCAGAACGCACACAACATTCGATGCTAACTCTTACGTGGGCACAGTTTATGGCCCCTCAAAAGGATTACAATGCTAACACCGCCCATCATTGATCACCAATCACCATAACGGATATCATAATGAAAAAGTCTGAAATATTGTGAGAATTACCAAAATGTGACACAGACACAAAGTGAGCAGGTGCTATTGGAAAAATGGCACAAATAGGCTTTCTCAATGTAGGGTTACCACAAATGTTCAATTTGTAAAAAATGAAGTATCTGGGAAGTGTAATTAAAGCAAAATGCAATAAGGTGAGGTGTGCCTGTTCATAGCTGGTACTCAAGAGTATTTACAAATGAAGTGGATGGATGAATCAATGAATGAATTGGCATCCCACAGGTAAAGAGCTCTCACATGAAACAAGGCAGCTCTGCCTAGGGCTCCTGTATGGGTTGTCACTGTCCCCCAGAGAGAGGCCAGGAAATGGCTCAAACTCTCCTCCCTTCTCCCACCTTGGGCAGCCACCAACAGTGGGGACAGTGGCTGGATGTGGTAGTCATCTGTGCCGCAGGGCTGGCCACTGGGAGGCAGGGGACCAAAGGGCTCCACATGGACAACCAACAAACGTCTATGGCACTGTATCATGTGCCTATGGCTTCGGTAACAAATTACCAGAAATGTAGTGGCGCAAAACAACACAGATTTATTGTCTTAAACTTCTGAAGGGCAGAAGTCTCAAATGGTCCCCACTGGGCTGAAGTCAAGGTGGCCACGGGCTGGTTTCTCTCTGGAGGCTCCAGGGGAGAACCTGTTCTTTGTCTTCTCCAGCTCTGAGAGGCTGCTGCCTTCCTTGGCCTGAGGCCTCCTTCCAGCCGTCATATCTGTCACTCCGACCTTGTGTCTCTGGTCACACACTACCTCCCTCTTATTTATTTATTGATTTATTTTGAGATAGGGTCTCACTCTGTTGCGCAGGCTGGAGTGCAGTGGCTCACAGCTCACCACAGCTTTACCTCCCGGGCTCAGTCAATCCTCCCACCTCAGCCTCCTGAGCAGCTAGGACTACAGGCACAGGCCACCATGCCCAGCTAATTTTTGTACGGTTTTGCCATGTTGACCAGGCTGGTCTCAAACTCCTGAGCTCAAGCAATTCACCTACCTTGGCCTCCCAAAGTGTTGGCATGACAGATGTGAGCCGCCACACCTGCCAGTGTTGTCACAGAGATCCCTGTAAGACCAGAACACCTGATCCTGGGATCCCCATGACAACACTGGACCCACTCCAATAATGGAGCACCATCTCCCCATCTCAAGGTCCTTAACTTGATCACATATGCAAAGTTTCTTTTGCCATGGAAGGTGACATGTTTCCCAGTGCCAGGGTTTAGGATGTGGACATGTCTGGGGACCCTGACTCTCCCCACTGCAGCCACCATCTCAAAGTGGAGCACCAAGACTCCTGTTTTGATTTTCAGTGAACATTTTTCATTAATCAGATTAAATAATTAAAGAAACCTTAAGTATTATTTCTATGACACATCCCCATTAATCTTCATACAGACAGTGACCAGAATAAAAGTAATAGGAGGGGGGAAAAGAAGGTGTGTCCCTTTTAGCCTACCCCAGGAAGAATCCACTGCCATCATCTAAGGCCTGAATTAGGAAATCCTCCCTAGCACCTGGCCGGTTCCTGGGTGCCCTCTGAGCCCTCTGGTGGTAGCTGATGAGATGAGCTACATAGAACCCACTGGCTGGGGACTCAGCGGACAGACATGAAGTTGTCCAGGCAGCCATCATGAGCCTCTGACGGAACCGTAAGTAGGGACAGGTGGGGGTGCAGGAGCAAAGTAACAGCCTATGGCACCGTCTGGGATAGGACACTTACCTCTGTCCGTGAAGATGATGGCAAGGAGGGCAGGAGATCGTCCACGCTCCCGATGAGCTTCCGCAGGGTCAGCCCCACGTTCTGGGGAGAGAAAGGGGCAGGATGGCCGCCACTCCTGGCTACTGGAGAGAGCTCTCCTGAGGTGGTGCTTGCCCCTGTGAGTGGCCTGGGACTCAATTCCCCAGCCCAGCTTGCTCTAGGAGGATATTCCCGGACAGCCAAAAGGAAGCACAGTCCTCCTTCCTTCCAGGGTGGAGTTGAGCCGCCTCCACCTCCCCAGCCTGGCCCTGCTCTCACCTTCACCACCACCACATAGCCCTCGGGGGGCAGCTGACAGAGCTCATTCTTGAGGTCCAGCACGGCCCGCACCAGCGCCATGACATTGAGGTACACCAGGTCGTCGGTCCGGTCCAGGTTAGCTGTGGGCTGGATGGACTGAGGAGAAGCAGGTGGCTGGTGAGTGGGGAGGGCCAGGGCATAGCACGATTCTCTCCTGGGGAGGCACTACTGGGGCCAACTCCACCACCAGCTCGATTTGAAAGGACTCTTCTCTAGAATCATAGTGTCCTGACCTGGGCTGTTCGACCCTGTCCACGTCGGGGACAGTTTCCAGCCAGGGAGCCTTAACAAAATACTAGTGGTTGTCTCGCAGCAGACCAATAGAACCACCACCGGGACATGGGGTGAGGCAGGCTTTTTCAAGAGACAGGGTCTCACTCTATTGCCCAGGCTGGAGTGCAAGGGCACGGTCATGGCTCACGCTGCCTTGACCTCCTGGGCCAAGCAATCCTCCTGTCTCAGTTTCCTGAGTATCAGGCATGCCGTCAAGTCCAGCTATTTTATTTTTAATTTCGAATAAAGACAGGTTCTTGCGATATTGCCCAGGCTGATCTTGAATTCCTGGGCTCAAGCGATCCTCCTGCCATGGCCTCCCAGAGTGCTGGGATTACAGGTGTGAGCCACCGCATCTGGCCTGTGCAGAGAGTTTCAAAGCTCCTCGGGTGGTTTTAATGGACAGCCAAGGTTGAGAATCACTATTCCAGAGGAAAGCAAGCCAGCACCACCCCAGACAGCTGTAAAGACAATGGGTGCTGGAAACCAAGGGGGAGGCTCAGAAGAGGGAGGGAGCCTACACCCCTTTCCCTGGGGCTGGACCAGGGAGCTCTGGGAGGGGTATGGAGGGTGGGAGATTGGTCCTTCCTCTTGCTTTTTCATGAATTAGCTGTGTGGTCTTAAGCAAGGGACCCCCATCTCTGGGGCTCATCTGTGTAATGAGGACTCTGAACTGGATTCTGTCTGAGACTGAAGCTTTCATATTCCGTGCCCTTCAGCATTGTTCAACTCTCTCTCAGTTGTCATCAGTTTCAGCAGAGCCAACACATACCTGTGCGCCCAGCCTTGGGGGCTTCTGCGGGGGCCCCGTGAACTCCACTGCAATAAAAAGAACAGCAAGTGGGGGGCAGTTCTCAGCACTCCAACCCTTCCCTTTGTACCTGCTGACATCAAATAGACCCCCTCCCCTTTACCACCAGGAGACTTCAGGGAAATGAACCCTAACTCCAGGAAGTTGGCAGTCTCCCTGGTTTTGCAATCGTCAAGGACAGCACTGTTGTCTCTTTTTTTTTTGAGACAGAGTCTCACTCTGGGCTGAAGTGCAGTGGTGCGATCTCAGCTCAGTGCAACCTCCGCCTCCCAGGTTCAAGCGATTCTCCTGCCTCAGCCTCTGAGTAGCTGGGATTATAGGTGCCTGCCACTACATCCAGCTAATTTTTTTTTTTTTTTAGTAGACATGGGGTTTTACCATGTTGGCCAGGCTGGTCTTGGACTCCTGACCTTCCAAAGTGCTGGGATTACAGGTGTGAGCCATCAAACCTGGCCTTCTATTCTCACCTCTACTACCAGAGAGCTCTGTCACCACCCTGGGCAGCTCACCCTCCTAGGGCCTGAATTTTCATTTGTAAGATAACAGGGTAGGCTCAGAAGAGATCCTCAAGTCAGAAGGCTTGGGTTCAAATGTGAGCATTGCTAATTATTAGCTGTGTGATTTTGGATAAGTTATGTATCCTCCCTGTGCCTCAGAGGATAATAAATGGTCCCAGGCCAGGTCTGACCTGTGTCCAGTTCTCTGTGACTGCTGTCCTCCTCCTCCTACTCAGCACTGCCCCTCCAGGCCCCAGGCTCACTGCTGGCTGTTCCCTCCCTGCCTTCAACATGGGCTTCCAGAGAGAGCCTGTGGGCTCAGCTGCCCCTCCCACTTTCTCTTCTCTGTCCTCAGGCCTACAGAAGATGAGTCTGAGCCGAGAGGCAGGTAGCACTGCTTAACTTCCCCACAGGAGCCTCCGACAGAGCAGGAAATCAAAAGGAAGAGAGAATTCCCAACTCCTCTAAACAAATGCAGGAGGGGGAAGACCTGAGGAGGGGCCTGAGGATGTGGCTGCTGAGAGAAAGGAGGCAGGGCGCCAGGCAAGGAGAGGGATGGGGTGGAGGGGGCAGAGGGGCAGCTGGCCCACCCCACAGCCTCTGAATTAAATCACGGCTGATGAGGCAGGGAACGCAGACAGACTCTGCTGTTCTCTGCCCTGGGTGGTGGGCAAGGACGGTGGCTCTGCACAAGGTGCCAAGCGGAAACCCCCCAAAGAAGGGCAGGAACACTCACTGTAGCCGACCTCCTTCTCTGGAGTCTGGAGGAAGGAGAAAAGAGAACATCGATGTCACTCGTGCGGCTCTGGAGACAACCCCCTCCCCTGTTACCCACTCCTCAGCCCTTCACTGTGTGTTTAGAGATTATTATAGCCATGGGGTCAGGGGTGCTTCTAGGAGCAGTTCCTAACCCAAAGAGACCTTTCTGGGAAGCTGAGGGGCACTGTGGAGGGCGCCAGCCAGTGGTAAGGGCTCCATAAAGGCAGAGTTGAAGAAAAGGGCCATGTAGAGTTTGGCAGAAAAGGAAAAGACACCCGCCCAACATGGAAAGCTGCCAAAGAGGAGCTGGGCAGGCCCGGGGGTGGGAGCAAGCAGGGGTCCTATGGTGGACGAGGCCTTCCCAGGCCTTGGTACGGGGGTAGGAGCAAGCAGGGGTCCTATGGTGGATGGGGCCTTCCCAGGCCTTGGCACAAAGGAAGAGGCCTCTCCTGGCAACTCACCAATGGGGACTTATCATTCATATAAACCATGGGGTCCTGCAGAGAAAGAAACAAGAGCGAAGGACTTAGAATTCTGGAGCTGAAAGCACCAAGAATGCAGGGGAGCCTTGCCCCAGCCACCCGGGGAGTTGGAAGAGGACACAGATGGGCGCCGGGCATGGACATCCCAGATGCTCACCAGGGACTTCTCCTCCTGCCTGAGCCACTGGTAGTCCTCCACCATCTGTTTCTGCTGCTTGTCCAGGATTTGCCGCATCTTGATCTTCTCGGCTTCCCACAGCTGCTGGGCCTCTTCTCGGCTGCTGGGTCGGATGAAGTCCTCCTCCTGGGAGGATGGCAGAGAGAAGGGAGAGGATGCAATGAGCGCTGCCCTCAGACTCAGGGAGGGACAGTCCTTTGAAGAACCTCATGGCAGCCACGAGACTTGCCCCCGAGCAGCTGCGTTTTTCTCCTAAGTTTGTTCTTAAACCCCCAGCCATATGTGCAGACAGTTACTGGGTATCAGCCCGAGCATGTGCCTTTGCTGCAATGTGATACCAAACCCGGGAACCCATTGCTGAACATGCACTGTATTCAAATGATCACACCATCCGCTCACGATATTTTATCAAGTGACTGCCCTGCTGTTATTGTCTCGGTGTTTGTGACAGTCATTTTCATTTAACAGATTTAAAAAAGAAAACCTATGGAAGTCAATTAAAATCTATTTTAAAATCTACTAAAAGCATCAAGAAGGCTTCCAAGGGGATGGCTTTGCTTCATTGGATAGCATCATGCCCTTTCGATCTGTCTCCACCTAAGCACCAAGGCAGCAGGTCTGGAAGCTTCAAGAGACAGTGGTGCTACCTCTAGTCTCACGGTGTGCAGTCCCACCTGTGTCCATGCATGAGCAGAGCCTGAGCATGCATGCACCAACCATGCCTTTGTACTAAGACATCCTCTTATTAAGATAAGAGCTTGGGTTATTTAACAAAATGTTAGGAGGAATACATGAGCTAAGAGATAAAGAACAAAATTTCATGAAATACAGCTCTGTAGAGATAAGATAAATGCAATCATAGCTTGGTTATTTAAGCAACGATTAGAAGAAATGCATGAACAGATAAAAAGAAGAACAAAATTCAAAGAAATATAGCTCTACAGAGGTAAGATAAATGCTTCCTCTCCCTAGATGTAGTAGCCCAGCTGTTGCTGTAACTTACCTCTAGGGCTGTGGACCCATTCATAGTTTTAGCTGCTAGTTTCTAAACAGAAAGTATTGCATGTCCTCCTATTTTCCTTCAATCTTCCCCCAACGGTTCATTTGTATAATCATCTGCTCAGTGCCTCTGAACTATTTTGCTCTTGTTCGGCACATGATAACCCTGGCCTCCTGGACAGAGGGAGGAGGAATATTATTGGCATCCTCTTGATTGCACAAAGCCCAGGATTTGCCTTTGCTGGGGCAGGATCCTCTGTGACATCTAAATGAGCAGGTCTCTCAGTTCCTTGCCTTTGAAGGGGCCATTTGCATACAAGTCACTTGCAGAAGATGCTGACAATGATCTCTTTCTACTTTTAGCAATTGGTAATCCCTACCAAGCCTCTTAAAAGAGTTTCCTCACTAAGCCCTGCAAAACACACTTGAATATTACCACATGGTTTAAAAATGGTTATATTGGGATGTTTTTCTTAGTGCACATTGAGCTTCAATTACTGACCTTAATTTCCAGTCACATTTCCCCACAAATTAGGTTTCTTGCTGAAATAGTCTTTATTCATGAATCTGTTCAACAATTGTTTATTAAAAGCACTACTATGTGGCAGGGCTGGGTGCTGGGAGGACAGTGCTATTAAAATATATGATGCTCTTATTCTCATGGGGTTAGTTAGACCAGGGCTCCTCAACCTCAGGACTATTGACATTTGGAGCCAGGTAAGTCTTTATTTCCAGGGTGATTTACGATACATTGCAGTATGCTTCCCCGCAATACCTGCCTATAGTACATCCCCAGTGGTAACGAAAATGCCTCCAGACATGGTCAAATGTGCTCTCAGAGGAAAAATACCTTAGCTGAGAACCACTGAGCTAGACCTTATTTTAGGAAAACAAAGTCCAGCATCTAAGAGTATTTTATAGTCATGGGATTGATAAAAATAAAATCGGTTTTACTGATCAGAGGCTGATACTTCAACATTAGGACATTTTAAGGGGATGAAAATCCCCAGTTAAATGTCAACACCTGAAGACAAAATGACATGGTTGCCCCAAGCTGTTGACAAATAGTAACAAACAAGAACTAAGTGTCAAAAGTTCTAAATATAGAGTCAGGGATTTCTGGATGTGAGAAAAATGTTTGGGTTGAAGAAGAGTATGGTAAGTACCACTGGGATAAGTCAATAAAATTCTACAAGTATTTATAAGTATTTGTAAGTTTGTAAGTGTTGAGAGAAGATCCCATCACCAAAATAGCTAGCATGCCCCAGGCCTGATCTTACCACATATCTTAACAAACTCAGATTAGGAGGCTTATTCTGATGCCTTCCAATTTTACAATAAAACTTAAGGAGAAAATGAACATTTAAAAAATGGTATCTATTTGGGGTTGGTTTTGCTGAAATTCACCTCCAATATTACTAGGTAATGGACACTTACATTGCTAATTATATTCTATGCTTAAAAGGAATCAGGTACTCGTGGTGTTTTAAAATAACTCTGTAAGTTGTAGCACCTTCCAGAATTTGGCTATGACCCAGCTGTTGGCCTTATTTCCACCTCCACAAGTTCCCTTCCTGTTCTAGCCTAATAGTTCTTACACTTGTCCTGTGGTTTCTCAACACTCAGTCTTGGCTTCTACTGAAGCCTCTGCCTCTTCCATGCCCTGAATCTCAGTTTCCTCCTGTCCACACATTTCCCATTTTTCAAGGCCAGCTTTTAAATAGAAGCTGGAAGGGGTTATCCCCCTCTCTGGACTCCCACTCTGTTGTACCCACAACCTTCTGGCTTGCATTACAGGTAAGTGTGTACCCGGTCTGCTCCTTCTGGTCAACTGCAAGCTCTTTGAAGGCAGAGCCTCCCCACTTCAGCACCGAGGACAGTGCCAGTGATCAGAGCAACTCACAGTGTTTACTGAATCGTATTATTTTTATTTTATTTTTTGAGACAGAGTTTGGCTCTGTTGCTCAGGCCGGAGTACAGTGGTGCGATCGTGGCTCACTACAACCTCTGCCTCCCAGGTTCAAGTGTTCTCCTGCCTTAGCCTCTTGAGTAGCTGGGATTACAGGTGCATGCCGCCATGCCTGGCTATTTTTTGTATTTTTAGTAGAGACTGGGTTTCACCATGATGGCCAGGGTGGTCTCAAACTCCTGACATCAAGTGATACACCTGCCTCGGTCTCCCAAAATGCTGGGAATACAGGTGCGAGCCACACGTCAAGCCTTGAATTATATTATTTTTAAAGCTCAATTGTGAGGTCTTCGAGAGAGAAATTGCTGCCATCCCAATGCTGGGATGGCATCCCACAGACTCCCTGATGAGTCAGGCTATAGAGCCACGCAGTAGAAAAACTGTTTTTCTGGGAAAACCACCTCTGAATTTCTGTTAAATGCTTCCAAATGCTTTGTGAAGAGCCTATTATACCTTCTCAGCATTCTACCTGAAAAAGACTTTCTCAGTGTTTCTGATCTGTGTCATAAAATGGAGCTTATATTTTTAACCTTTTGGGGTTTGTTTATTTAAAGACATGCTCATTATGTTCTTTAGGCAGATTTTCCTTATGGCAATTACTTCTAAAGCCCTGACACAAAAGGTCTTTTTTCCTAATGCACAATCTCTTTATGGAACTGAACAAGGTCCTTGTGGAGAAGCAGGAATTGGACAAAGGCAAGCTACCCCTCAAATGTGCAAAATGGCATCTTTCTAGAATAACACAATTTAAAGCAAAACTCACTAAAACAATCAATCATGAATAGAGAGTCAAAGGCAGGAGGGTGGGGAACCGAACACAGCCTAAATTATGGCACATGCTTAAAAATGTAGTTTTCTTATTGTTAAGCCCATGCAAAGACAGAAATTGGCTAAATTAATATAAAAGAGAAAAATGAGATAGGTCAGAGGAAATTTTATTTCACAATAAATCTTAATCTTAGTGCCTGGAATTCTAAGTTATCATGCTCATTTCAAAATTCCACTAACTTAAGAATAATGGCATCAAAGTAATATTGACCTACTTGCCTACATCTTCCAAATATATTATGATAAACATCTAATTCTTTTCAAAAAAAATCTTGTTACGTTTAGTGAGCCTGAAATACTATGCATGTATGCAGAGTTAAGAGCTAAAATAAGGGTTTCAGTTGGCTTAATAAAATAGATCAAGTTCATGGCAACTGACCACTATGGACCATATGCATGGAAGAAGGTGATTGATGACCAGTGGGCATCTGGTTATAAGCAAAAGTGTCTTTTTCACATAAGAGCTGACAATCAGAAGCCAGCCATGAAGCACTTGGGGCTTCACCCACAGTTAACAATACCCAGTGACAAACAGCTGATGAGGGAGGTGGCTTAGGCTCCTGTTCTAGCCAGTGAATGAGCCTGTATTCCCACTAGCCCTGAACTCCTCACCCAGCAGCAGCCTGAACAAAAGGCGAAGGGGAAGCAGCCGTGAGGAAGTCTTTCCTTAGAGATTTCGCACCAAAAGCCGTCAGGTAGGAAGGATCCTTTACACTCCAGCACCACTAAGCTGTGCCGCACTCTGCCTAGGAGCCTTCATGCTGCCACAGATCCCCGTACCCCTGGGGCTCAGGAGAGGGAGAGATTTGTACCTCTCTAGCTATAGCACCAGCATGGTCAAGGGCAGGTTAGGTCCAGCTAGTGTCCTCCAGAGCAGGGCCTGGCTTGGTCCCTAGCCTCTGTTGCGTTTGCAAAGGGGAGGAAGTCACAGAGTCCCCCCTTGGTGGCCTGACTGGTGCATGGGAGCACCGAGGGCCCTCTTGAGCTGAGGATGTGGGGTTCCCAGTGTCCCCAGCCACCTCCCTCCAGCAGCCTCTTCAGTCTGGGCAGGGACCAGCATGCAGAGCCCTCTTACCCGCATGCTGTGGCGTTTGAAGACATTGTGCCGGTGGAGAGGTGGGGTGTGCAGTGAGTTAACGGGAGATGGATACTCCATGGGGCTGGTGAGCGTAGGAGAGCTGGCACACAGACCCTCGGGGACCTATTCAGGAAAAGCAAAGAAGCACAAGGCACGGGACAAAGCAAGAAGGTGGGCAATTAGCTGCTACAAACATGAGCACAAAGAAACCAGGCATGGGCACCATGGGGGATGGGGCTTGCTCTCCAGGAGTTAATAAAGGACACGACGTGGGCCTTCCATTGTTCCAAGAGAGATGGTGGAGCAGAGCGGCCTCTCATTCATCCAACATCCCCCACCATGTTGCTCTGCACACAGTGGGGTCCATGCTGGTTACTGACCCACTGAGACCAGGGCTCCTCCCTCAGGACTCAACAGAAAACAGTTATGTTTCAGTTGCATTACAAACTGACTGATGTGGCTAACGCAGAGATTTCAGGAAATATGCATGAATTACTTTTTAAAAATTCAGACAGTCTCTTGCTCTGTTGCCCAGGCTGGGATGCAGTGGTATGATCACAGCTCACTGTAGCCTTAAACTCTTGGCCTCAAGTAATCCTCCTACCTCAGCCTCTCATGTAACTGGGACTATAGGTGCATGCCACCATGCCTGCCTTGAATTTTTTTCTTAAAAAATCATGTTATCACAATTTTATTTTATTACTCTTTGTTTTTACAGATGGGGGTCTCAGTATATTGCCCAGGCTGGTCTCAAATTCCTGAGCTCAATCAGTCTTCCCATCTCACCCTCCTTAGTAGCTGGGACTACAGGTATGTGCCACCATACCTAACCCCCTGTTTTAAATATCACATAAGGGTATATTTCTTTCTTTCCTTTTTTTTTTTTTTTTTTTGAGATGGAGACTTGCTCTGTCACCCAGGCTGGAGTGCGGTGGCGCGATCTTGGCTCACTGCAACCTCTGCCTCCCAAGTTCAAGCGGTTCTCCTGCCTCGGCCTCTCAAGCAACTGGGACTATAGGCATGCACCACCACGCCCAACTAATTTTTGTATTTTTAGTAGAGACAGCATTTCACCATATTGGCCAGGCTAGTCTTGAACTCCTAATCTCATGATCCACCCACCTTGGCCTCCCAAAGTGTCGGGATTACAGGCGTGAGCCACCGCGCCTGGCCTGTTTCTTTAAGGACAATGCTTTCACCTTCTGAACCAGGCTTTCTCTTCACATGGAGAGGATTTATCTATTAGTCCTTGGAGGGTCTTGTTTGGGTACTCAGGCATTTCCTTGGGAACAAATATAGGACCATGGGGCACCACCCTTCTACAAAGGGCACCAAATAAATGGACATTATTTCTAGTGGCTGAGGGGCTCCATTTTTGGGCAGTGGCTCTGAACTGGGAGATGCAAGAGAAGACATAGGAGGAGACTAGACTCCCTCTCTCCCAGAGGCAAGAGAGACAGAACTGGGCAAGAGACAAGAACTGTCAGCGACCCACAGCCTGGGCAAGAGTCATGGTTGGGGATAATGGAGCCGGCAGAAAGCACAGGTTAAACCCTGCTGTCTCTACAATGGCCACCCACGTTCTGGATGGGGCCTCTCTGGGGAGCCCCATGGAGTTACTCCATTTGCTGGGGAACATTCCCTGGGATTACTTCTGGGAAGAAGGTCAGGGAGGCCTTGGATGGGCAAGAGAGCAGCAGGCAGGCACACATAGCAGCAGACACTGTAGACAGAGGGACGGGGCTTAAGGCAGGTCTTAGCTGAGCACAGCCTGGGAGAACTGCATTTCAGTTCTTGTGATCTGAGTCTACATTCTGTTCTGGGTACCAAAGAGGAGGCAATCTAGGCCATCTCCATCACCAAGATGGGTGACTGCTGTTCCTCTAAGGCAAAGGAATGGAGTTTCAGGAAGGACCTGGATGAGGGGTAGACCCGAACTTCCCACCGTCTTGTTCTATCTTTACCTGGAACTGCAGCTTCGGAGCCAGGAGGTTGGTTTGTGGAGGGTGTCTGTACTTAGGCCGGCTGGGCTGGAGAGAGAACACAGATGGGTCAGTCTCCGTCCCTCTCCTTGAGTGAACACAACTCACCAAGGGGAAGATCAGGTTGAAGACACCTCAGGCTCATTCCAAAGGAAGGAAAGTTGAGGAACAAAGCTGTCAAGAAACTCATTTTGCATCCACTTTTTTTTGTTTCGAGACGGAGTCTCGCTCTGTCTCCCAGGCTGGAGTGCAGCAGTGCGATCTTGGCTTATTGCAACCTCTGCCTCCCAGGTTCAAGCAATTCTCTGGCTCAGTCTCCCAAGTAGCTTGGATTACAGGCACCCCCCACCACACCCGGCTAATTTTTGTATTTTTAGTAGAGATGGGGTTTCACCATCTTGGCCAGGCTTGTCTTGATCTCCTGACCTCAGGTGATCCACCGACCTCTGCCTCCCAAAGTGCTGGGATTACAGGCGTGAGCCACTGCGCCTGGCCTGCATCCATTTATTGAGCACCAATTACCTGCTGAGTGGTGGAAGGTACAAAGAGGCCACCTTGCACCCTCCTGGGGCTATGGCTAATTGGAGGGTTAATGATCAGTGTATGTGTGGCCTCCCTATACATGGGAGCACCCAGCAAATCAGAGCTGCAGAGCCACAGGCATGCGGAGGTGGCAGCTCACCTCACCAGGGGCTTGGGCACTCACGGAAGCTGCATGGAGGAGATGAACACTGAGCCAGGCCCGAGGGGAATGGTGGGACATGTCAGACAAGATGGACAAATGAGAAAAGGCCTTAGATAGAATCAGGCATTGCTATGGAATGAATATTTGTCCCCCCTTTCAATTTGTACATTGAAGCCTGAATATCCAATGTGATGGTATTTAGGAGGTGCAGGCTTTGGGAGGTAATTAGGGTTAGATAAGGTTATGAAAATGGATCCTATGATGGGATTAGTGCCCTTATAAGAAGAGAAAGACCATTCTGTGTCTGCCAGGTGAAAACATAGTGAGAAGGTGGATGTCTGCAAGCCAGACAGAGAGCCCTCACCAGACACCAGTACCTTCATCTTGGACTTCCCAGTCTCCAGAACTGTGAGAGATAAACATCTGTTGTTTAAGCCACCCAGTCTGTGGTCTCTTGCTGCAGCAACTCCAGTTGACTAAGACAGGCATGGCCTCTCAGACCCACCCACCTAATGGCAATGGGGCCTTGGCTCCTGAGCTCAGGGTGTCCATGTGGGGCACAGATGCAGGTACTAGACCTAAAAGATCCAGAACACTCCCATTTATGTGTCCTCAGGGGGATCTCATTTGTTCCTAAGAAAACTCCTAGAAGAGAAGCCCAACCTCTCATGGGACACTTTTGAGGGATGATTCTTGACCCAGCTGTCCCACAAGGTGGCTGCTGCCTCAAAGTCCACCTGCCAAGGCACTGATGTAACACACTGACAGTGTTGGTGGACTCTGGGTGAAGGACTGAGAGAGGGCTGCAGGGGGCATCCTGCCTGCGCAGTAAGAGGGGCATGGATCAGACAGGGACCTGGCTCTGCTTTGACTCACAGGACTTATGAAGCCATGGCTTGGCTTACCTTGGGTGGGGGTTCCTGGAAGGCTGTGGGCTCCAAGATTTTGGGGGTTCGGTAGCGAGCATTCCTCTCTTGCTCCATTGCCATGTCCTTCTCCATCTGATAAATGTCACTGCAGGGAGTCAGGTCAGATGGGGTGAGAAACGAGGTCAAAGCTAGATGCTCCTTAGGGCTCCTCTCTGTACTGTGTGGAAGCCCACAGAGGCCTGGGCAAGGCTGCTAGGTCCCATTTCCATTTCCATCCCCCCTGCAGAGTGGCCTGGGGAGAGCCCCCCGAGACAGGCTTGGATTTGGGCCCTGAGGCCACATTGAGGTGGAGGATCACAGGAACGAATCCAAGGTGGAAAACTATCCTTGGAGAACCAGTCCAAGCAGCCCCACTCCCAGGCCTTGTGCCCTCCTAGGCTTGTGATTGACACCAAATCTCTATATAGATTTCCAAAGTCCCAGCCAACTGCATGGCCCTGGCCTAGAATCCACATCTCCTATACCTCATGAAACATCTCCCAATGCATTCCTGCTGTGTGCTGACAAGGGTGTGGGTTCACAGGCTAGCCCTGTGCATGCCTCTCACCTTTCTTACCCAATCCAGTGATCCTAACCTGGGATCACACACGCCAGAGGACTCTGGAACTATTACTGCCTATGAAGCCGCACATTCATATGGGTATCAAGTATTATAGACTACTGAATATGTGATACTATGAGATACTTGGTATTATATTTTCAAATGTGCATGCATTTTATTCTATATAATAAAAATGCATTATATAGCCTACTACATTTTGTTCAGCAGAAGATTTAAAAAATATAACTATTGTTATATAGAGACACTCAAAATTTGACCTTGGAAGGTCCTTTCCTCCCCAGAACAATTAGGAAACACTGACCAAAGCCCTTCTGAACTCTAAGGAGGAAGTGTCTGTGGTGGCAGGGGGAGGAACCTGGGGTCTTCTGAGTCTTTCAGGGTTTTTCAGATCGCAATGGAAACCTGCTCCTACCTGCACTTGTGGTGGGGGGGCCTGGCCAGTGCTTCTGATGGGAATACCTCTCAGCCCAGGAGAGGCGCCTGCATAGCTCCCTGTGGCTCTCAAGGCCTCAGAGTGAATGAGGACTCCCAGCCCCATCCCCCGGCAAGCTTTCACCCTCCTAGATTCCATCTTTCAAATACTTTTATCCTGCAGCCCATTGGCTTCTCAAGTCTCTTATATGAGGGACCAACAGAGGAGTCTAGAATTAACTGGGAGGCTCACTGAAGGGATAGGCAGGAACAGGGAGGCCTTTTAAGCCAGAGGTTTTGCAAATGATGTTGAAGGCCCTGCCCCGTGTAAAACATGCCGGGTCACCCTGAGTGCCCCTGGCCTGGGCATTGCCGGCATTCCCCGGGGTACCTCCCCACCAGGCAGTTTTCAGGCGGTGCTTTCTTGTCCTAAAATCAAACAAGGCAATATGTTGACTACAGTATTTAAAATCACAATATTTTGAGTCAAGTTCCAGACTACCTAAAGCAGGGTTCAGCAAACAAGAGCCCATGGGGCAAATCTGGCCTTTCCTCTATTTTTATATGGCCCCCAAGGAAGAATGTTTTTTGCATTGTTTTAATAACTAAAAAAATTAAAAGAAGAAAAACACTTACAACACAAGAAAATTATGTGAAATTCAAATTTCAGTGTTCATAAATGGCGTTTCACTGGAGCCCAGCTATACCCATTCATCGAAGTATTGTCTATGGCTATTTTGTCTCCTGTCTAAGCTAGGAGAGTTAGAAGTTTTGGCAGAGACTTGCATAAACGGCAAAGCCCTAAATATTTACTGTTTGGTCCTTTATAGAAAGGGCTGACTCCCATCACAGAGGAATTGTCTCGGGATGGGAGACTGAGTTCCCCAAGGAACTCATGATGCATTCTCTCCTGTCTAATCTAGGAGAGTTAGCAGTTTTGGCAGAGACTTGCATAAACTGCAAAGCCCTAAATATTTACTGTTTGGTCCTTTATAGAAAGGGCTGACTCCCATCACAGAGGAAGCCAAAAGAAGTCCGATCTCCCACAGGAGGGCTAATGGCAGGCTGGCCACCAAGAAAACTGGAGGACCCTGAACCTCTGAAACACACGACCTTCTTCGCCAGCAACCTCACCAGCCCTAGGCAATGATGGCTCTTGGGCACTGACGGGCCCTCAGGTCCCTTATCCCCCATTCAGAAGGGAGAGGTGGCCCCTGGGTCACACTCTTGATAACAGGTCAAACATTACTCCCTTCCTTGTATCTGGGAGGAAAGATCAAAGTCAAGAGGAGAGGTGAGAGGAAGCGGGTGGCATCCCCAACACCATAAAGAGCACAGGCACTTCAACGAGAGTCTGCTTCAGGCTTTTGATTCTAACCTAGAATATATTTTCTGAGCACATCCTAGGAACAAGGCTCTGTGCTCCGTGTTGACAGATGCCCAGATGATCCAGGCTTCCCCTGGGGTGCCTTATCTCTGAGCTCATATCTGACAGTGAATCTGGCTTCAGCCTCCGGTCCTTGACCCTGGCCTGTCTCATTTAGGGAGATGCAGTGCAAACCTCTCTGTGTGCTGCTGGTCTTGCTCCCTGGTGCCGCCGGGGGTCGGTGGGGGGGCCCAGCCCCCGGCCCACACTCCATGCTCACCTGAGGCTGCACACCAGCTCGGTGAAGCGGGGCCGGTCGCTGGGGTCGTAGTCCCAGCAGCGGGTCATGAGGGTATAAAGGATCGGTGGACAGAGGTCGGGCTTGGGCAGCCGGTCCCCTTTCTCCAGCACTCCGATGACGTCCTTGTTCTCCAGCCAGAAGAAGGGCTGCTTCCCAAAGCTCAGGATCTCCCACATGCACACGGCTGGGGTGGAAGAGAGTGTCAGGCCTCAGCCCGGGGGAGACCAGTCCCACCCATCCAGGACAGCACCATTGCCATTACTGCTCAGTTTCAGCCAGAAGCAGCTCCTATGGTCCTGCCTCTCCATCCAGCACACTGGGGTCCTGCCCACCATCGCGGCCCGCCCAAGGGACCAGTGACCTACATCTGCAGGTAATGACCTAGGGCCTTGCTCCCTAGACCCGTCAGGGTGCTGCAGGATCGAGAGGTGGCAGTCATGGCATGTCATTGGGACCACATGTGCCTTCTTCTTAGATGGGAGGGGAGCCACTCCCTAGTAAAGCTGGAGTTGGAAGCCTCACACCAACGCTTGGTGCCTGTGTGGCTGTGGGCAGGCTCCTGACTCATCTGAGCCTCAGTTTTCTTAACTAGAAAATGAGAGTAACAATAATATTCTACGGGGTTGGCTGTGGGAGAACGAAGTGATGGTCTTCAGGAGGTATTCTGGAAGGGGCTGTCTGTCTGCACCTGCCTTTGCTCTCTCCCCCCCTGCACCTCTCTCAGAACAAGTCACAGAGTTTCATCTTAGTTTCTGGGGCTGGTAGGTGGGACACACATCCCACAAGAGCCTCTTCCAGGAAGATGAACCTGCACAGTCCAGTCCAGCCCTTAGCCTGGATCACGCCCTACCCCACCCCCGCTGGCCTCCCCATCTCTGAGACTTCTCAGTGGCCAAAGCAAAATAGAGGGGTGGGGGTCAGACCCCTGCTCCCTGGACCCACCCCATTAGCCTGGTTGGAGGTGAGAATCTGAACCCTTTTTCATGCCGTCTCAAATCAGCACTCACCAAACATCCAGACGTCACTGGCTGTAGTGAAGCGTCGGAAGTTAATGGACTCTGGGGACATCCATTTGATGGGGAGACGAGTCACAGAGGCTTTGGGTGGGCAAAGAGGTTGATTTTTAGGGAAGAAAGATCAGAATTATCCAGAAATACATGCTACTTTCTGGAGACCCTTAGCCTGGGCTGTCCAACCGTAGATTTCCTTTTTCTGGAATTTTTGGCTTCAGCAACCCCTCCAAGGCCACAGCAGAGGCCAGGAAGTCCCCTCACCTTTGTAATAGTCCTCATCCTCAATGTACCGAGAAAGGCCGAAGTCCCCCAGCTTCACACACTCGGGGGAGGCCACCAGGATGTTCCGGACAGCAATGTCCCTGGAAGAAGGGTGCCAAGACCAGGGTGAGGCCCTGCCCACCCCCATGGGGGCAGGGACACTTCAGAGAGACAGACAGACAGATGGACAGAGAAACAAACAGTGCAGCCCAGGGACTCGACGTCCAGAGCAGAATCGGGCAGCTCCTGCGGGTCACTGCCCCCACCGAGTGGCCTTGCTGCAGCACAGCTCAGGTGGGAGCCCAGCTGGCCCCTCTGCACCCCAAAACTCGCAGGTGCATGACCATCTTCTTCCCTCTCGCTGCCGGGCTGTCTCCATCACCCTTCTCACACATCTCCAGCTCGAAGCCTGGCTCAGGTCCCTGGGATCTGCTACCTTCCACTTCTGTGCTGTTGCCTACACTGTCCCCCCTGACAGGGAGGCTGTCACCTGTTGATTCTTCAAGAATAAACTCCAACTACTTCCCTGGACACAGTTATTCTCTCACGTCTGCATTTCCATAGGACTGGTTAGGCCTTTGGAATAGTAGGAGCAGCAGCGGCAGCAGCACAGCTAACTCTGATGGGGAACTGAGGATACCAGGATCGCACAAGGGCTTCGCATACCCTGAGTCATAACACAGAGACCCTCATACCTCCAGGTATAGGGGAGGAGACCAGGCCCAGGGAGCTGAAGGAACTTGCCCAGCACGTCACCGGTGGAAAAGGGTGTTGCCCAGGTAGGCTAGTTCAGGGCTGAGCTCTCGCTCCTCCCAGGAGACACTCTGCTGACTCAGTTTACCCTGTGTTCTTGCCATCACTCCCAACCCCAAACTAGTTTGCCTGCTTGCTTCTCATAGGCAGGCTCCACTCCCTAGCATTTGTTTTTATAGTTGAGGTGATGACTTAAAAGCATGGCAGCTTCAAATGAATAAACAAAATAAACAAATCTCTCAACCCATCACCTTCGTCCCGACAACTGATGTCTCCAGTGTGACGCGCATGCTAGAAGGTAAGCTTCACAAGGAAAAAGATTTTTGCTTGTTTTCATCACAACTTTGTCCCAGAGCCTAGGCCAGTGCCTTACACAGATGTGTTCCATATTTGTTGGATGGATGAATGAGTAAGTGAATGGGTGGACGAATGAATGAATGCAGGGTTTTATCCCCTGATGTGGCTTTGTACAGAATCAGACACAAGGCCATATAGTCAATGTCAATGGCAAGTAATGGCCAACCACCGACTCCCCTGGGGGTCAGGTTCTCATGGCAAGGAATGAGCACAAAACCAGGTAGGGCAGGGGCCAAGTCCACAGCCACAGGGAGGTTTGGACTCAGCAGCCCAGGGAACGAGGGTGGTGTCCAGGCCAGGACTCTGGGATCTTCCTGGCCCAGCTCCGGCCCAGTCCCTTCTTCCTGGGCCACGCGCCATCAAGCCGGTGAGCTGGAGGTGAGTGAGCTCTGAGCAAGGTTGGGGGCAATTTCCTGGCACTTGCAAGGGAGGTACTGGAAGGTCTTGAGCTCTAGACAGACACCTCGGACTTCAGAGTTACTCCCAACAACCCCATGAGGTACATACAGTGCCTGCAACTTTACAGATGAGGACACAGGGTCAGAGAAGTTGCTCAAGTGCTCCAAGTTGCCAGGACAGGCACGGCCAATGCTGGGATCCCAACACTGCTCTGTCACACCCAAGCCCTGCTTCTACCCAGATGCCTTGAGGACCTGGTGAAGGCCTGGCTTCCATGCTGCCGGCCACCCCTCTACCCTACCTGTGCACACAGTTGATGCTCTCCAGGTAGGCCATGGCTTTGCATATCTGCAGCGAGTATAGCACAAGGGTGAGCACCTTCAGGGAATTCTTGTTCCGCTCCAGGTAGTGGCCCAGCTGCGGGAAGGGGGAGGTGCCATCAAGACCCCTGGTTGGTCCCAGCATGGAGCCGGGGGCTGGGTGCTGACAGCCCCCGACCCTTCCCTGGAGGCGACGAGAAGCAAACCCAAAGCTGGCAAAATGTTCCAGCAATTTCCTTGACAAATAGAGCCTTTGGCTTGCTTCAACTAAATACAGAAGACAGGAAGCTGGGAGGAGGGGACTGTGCTCTAATGCCCCCCCTGCCCCGCTGTGGCCAGTTGTCACCACAGGGTCCCTCTTCTGCCACCTCCAGCTCACCTCCCCATAGGGATACAATTCCATGATGATCCAGGTGGGCTCCTCTTCAATGATGCCTATCAGCTTCACGATGTGTGGGTGGTCCAGGTTCTTCATGATCACTGCAGTGGTGGCGGGGGTGAGGGGGGGCAGGCAAGAGGGACGGGTGGAGCTGCTCAAAGGTCTAATTGAGCAAAGGCCTCTGTTCTTCCAGCTGGGGGAACGGGAGCCCTCCTCCAATGTGGGTCCCTGCACTGTTCCCCCATCCCTTCCTGGGCCCAAGCCCCTCCCATCTTGGAGGCCTGGTTGGTCCAAGGGGTCCCTACCTGCCTCACTCATAAACTTCTCCTTGTTGTCCAGAGTGCAGTCTTTCTTGCAGGTCTTGACAGCTACGTTGATATTCTCCCCTTTCTGCAACAACAGTGTGTTCTGAACCCCTTGGTCCAGCCCAGCGCTCAGCAGTGTTCCCTCCCGCCCTCCCCATGGCCTCCTGCAGACATCCCTGCCAGCTGAGGCCCCTTTCTCCTATGTCTCTGTTCTTCTCCTCTTTCTCTTCCTCTCCTCTCCTTCCCTGCTCCCCTTCTTCTTGATCAGGGTCTGTTAGAAGTGAAAAGGGCTTTAGTGGTCAAATGGTACAAGCCCCTGTCCATCCGGCTGAGGACACTGAGATTGAGAGGCTGTGTGACCTGCCCAAAGCCAGGGCCACCTGCAGGTCATTATCATGTGTGGGGGCTGGGTCTTTCTCTCTCTCATCATCATTAGATTTTACATTCTTGCTGCCTCTTTCTTTCTGCTTGGCCTTTCCCCGGGCCTGCTAGCAGCGTGACCACAGCTGTCCGCTTTGCCCTGCCCCGTCAGAGGCCTTGACAGTAACTCTAGATCCTGCCTCGTCTTTTCTCAGAACTGTCTTTATCCCGCCACCTGCTTTGTGTTCTCCTACCAAGAATCAGTGACCCTTCTCCAGGTTCTGCCTGTATCTCCATCCCTGGTATTTTGTTACCCTTCTTGGAAATGACTCGTCTCCATTATTCTCTTAGTATTTAATAAATACCGCCACGCCCTGTGGACAAGGGGCCCTAAGGGCTCCGAGTGGATGAAGGCTGCACCGACTCCAACCTGCTCAGATTCGAGCTCTGGCTCATCCTACAGACACGCGGAAGAGGAGTGTCAGGGAAGAGCCTGGAACTCACGTGATTCGTGTAGACACCTTCATAGACCTCCCCAAAAAAGCCTTCCCCAAGAATACGATTCAGGACGACATCTTCACGGACAATGCCATACTGTGGACCTGCACAGATGGAGAAAACAGTCGCAGAGCACAGAGACCAGTGGCATCCGCCGGGGAACCCGAGTGTCTGCAGGCTGTAACGCCAGGCATCGCCAGACCAACACCACCTCAGCCAAGGTCCAGGGGTTGGGCTGGGGAAACAGAGGTCTAGAATGTTCCATCGTCTCAGACCCAGGGAGGAGCCATCACCCTGCTCCCTCTGAAGGCTGAGTCCCAGGTCCGAGTTATTAGAATCCCCACACAGCTCCATGGGCACACAAAAGATCAATCAGTATAGGGAGAAAAAAAAGCATCTCAGCTTTCAAATCCAAGGCATCTCAGGTTTGCCACCATCTAAGCCTCACACAAAGGGAGGATAAAGGAGGAAAAGAATGTTCCCTGCAGTGATGTCACAGGGCCCTGCCTTTGACTGCTGTGGGGGGGGGGCGGGGTGGGGCAAGGAGGAGAACCTACCTCCGGTCCTTCGCAGGGTTTCGTCGGGAATCTCTGCATAGATGTCTGACTCTGGAATGGCAGGAAGAGGTCAAGCCACAGACAAGATGCTCTCAGTGAGCACCGCCAGGAATCAGGTGTGGGACTCCTGCTGGAGGCCAGTGGAGGCCAAGGGAGCAGGAGGAGAAACCAGACATGTCCTATCTCCCACCCCAAGCTTCAGCGTGGCCACGGAGACCAGGGCACCTCGGCTTAAGCGCCTACTCTCTGCTGCCTGACTTGCGTTACTTAGGGCAAGTTGACTCATCTCCCTCAATCTCAGTTTCCCTTTCTGTGAAGTGCATCCTGGGGGATGCTGTAAAGGTTGAATCAAATAATACCTGTTGCATGTTTAATACCATTAGGGACTGGATGTTTGTGTACCTCCCAGATTCCTTTGTTGAAGCCCCAACTCCCCAGGTGATGGGTGGAATTAGGAGGTGGGGCCTTTGGGAGGTGGTATGGTCATAAGGGTGGAGCGCCCATGATGGGATCCGTGCCCTTGTAAGCAGAAGAAGAGAGACCAGTGCTCTCTTTCCATCACAGGAGCCCACAGTCAAAGGACAGCTGTCTGCAAATGAGGACGAAAGCACTCACTGGATGCAGACTCTGCCAGCACCTTGATCTTGGACTTCCAGCCTCTAGACCTGTCAGCAATAAAGTCTTCTGGTTTTAAGCCACCCAGTCTACGGTATTTGGTTATGGTAGCCCAAGCTGCCTAAGATAAACGTGGTACCATGTACTAACTACTCAATGCACAGGAGCTATTACAATTCATGATATTTTAAAGCGATCATTAAGAAGCTATGGGGGAGAGTTGTTTTTCTGTAACTTGAGATGCCCTTGACAATATCATGAGGATATGTCAATATCTGCTTGCAAGGAGCAAGCAGATGGGAGGCAACTGGAGCAGGCCGAGGACACAGCAGGCGGCTCACCTATGCTGCAGCTCTCTGAGAGGTGGGACCGGCGGGCTTCCAGGTTTCTGTAGGAGGTGAGAAGGCAGAAGCCAGGTGAGCTCAGAGCCCTGCAATGCTCCCCTGGGCAGCCTCAGCCTGCCCTCTCCTCCCATCCCCTGTGGAGAAGCAGTCTGCTCAGATTAGCAAGGACCTGGGAGCACAGCCCAGGCTGCCTGGGACTGGAGCTGGGGGACAGCAGTGACTCCCCAGGATAACACCAGGTGGCATGAAGGCATAGGAATATTCCTGCAGGTATTTACTGGGAGGAAAAGATCATTCTTTTTCAGTGTTCTCCTGGGGCCGAAAGCCAGAAACTATGGAGGTGGGGACTCCCAGCTTGTTCTTCTTCCTCTCTGCAGCACTGGCTGAGCCCAGGGCCCTGTTTTCTGCACCCCACCATACTCACAGCATGGGGATCTGGGGCAGGCTGTTCCGCTTCTCGCCATCTAGGAAGAGAGGAGGATAGAGGAGGTTGGAACTGGGGACACAGGTGCGTGGGTAGGTGACTGACCTCCTTAGTATTCCTACAAGGGACTTTCCTCCCACCCCACCGCCTAATTCCATTCTCTCCTAGCCTGGGAGCTGGGGAGGCCTTGGGCCAGAACTGAAATCCTCTTTGGAGGCTTCCTTGGGCCAGATTTCACATGCTCCAGCTGGGACCCCTACTTCCTGAATCTGACCCCAAAATGGAGACACGCACAGGCGGGACCGGCCTTGTTCTAGCAATGCCTTTGAGCCTGCTGGACTAACATGCCTCTACTCCAGAAGCTGCCTCTATGTGGACCTTGACTAGCAGGGCTGCAGGTAGTGGACTGGCCAGGGCTTACAGCCCAAGATGGGCCCACTGGAAGCTTCCTGCGGGCTGTCAGGGAAGCTTCCTCATTCACTTATCTGTCAGTGGCTTGGCTTCTGCCCCTCCACCTCTGGGGACTTGGCTGTGCTGCCATCCATGGTCCAGTCACTTTATGTTTAAATGAAACCCACCTTTCCTAGGGTGGACGATGAGAGAGCCTTGGTGCTCCCCCTGCAGCCGGCAGTAGCCATCTATGAGGTCAGCCATGTTCTCAGCCTCTGCCAGGGACGAGGTTTTGATGGACAAGGCCTGCAGAGCAGAGACCGGCCAAGGGTGAGACCCCGGAGCCCTGGTTAGAGATCACCCCCACGGCTTAAGAAGAGACAGCAGTACCCTGCTACAACCCTTGCCTGGATGCCAGTGCTGTCTGGACCTCTCCCCTGGGGCCCTGCCCTGGAGTCCAGGCTGACTCTATCACCCCTTTTACCTGTATGTCCACGTTCTCCAAAGGCCAGTCCCTGGCCTCACTCATTTTAGCCTCTGAGTACATAGCATGATGCCTGGTAGATGCTCAATAAACAGAAGCAGAAACTGAGAAAATGGAAGAGGGGCTGGGCGCAGTGGCTCACGCCTCTAAACTCAGCGCTTTGGGAGGCTGAGGTAGGCAGATCACCTGAGGTCAGGAGTTTGAGACCAGTCTGGCCAGCATGGCGAAGCCCTGTCTCTACTAAAAGTATAAAATTAGTTGGGCCTTGTGGCAGGCACCTGTAATCCCAGCTACTCAGGATGCTGAGGCAGGAGAATCGCTTGAATTCAGGAGGCGGAAGTTACAGTGAGCCAAGACTGCGTCACTGCACTCCAGCCTGGGTGACAGAGTGAGACTTTGTCTAAAAAAAAAGAAAGAAAAAAGAAAGAAAGAAAGAAAGAACAAAAGAAAAAACAAAAGAAAAGAAAAGTGGGGGGAGGCAATGGGGCAAGGGCAGAGATGGGTGAACGGAGAGAGAGATGAATGCCCTGCAGCCTGTTTTATTGCCAAACAAACAAACAAACAAAAACCAAACCATGTTTTTGATTTCCACATCACTGTTCCCTTGGTAAAACTTAGACCTGTGATTTGTACCCGATTTCTGCTCACCTTGAACGTTCCACCAGCTGAAGACCTTCCCAGTTTCCTTCCTGGCATTACAAAAGTTCTTTCCCAAATTTTCTTATAATCGATCACCATCCTGGTACATTTCGTCCAAGAACTTGGTGCCATGGACTTTTGGCCTGATCAAGAGCTCCCGACCGGCTGTGAGAACCCCTGCAGAGCTGCCAGGTGCCCAGAGACACTCACCTGGGGGGCACCTTCAATGCCCAGCTGCAGCACCGCCTGGCCGTCTTCCAGTGGGAGGCACCTGATGGACTTAATCTGCTTGAACTCGGCCAGGCAAGTGGGCTGTGGGAAAAGAAGGGGGAGCTTCAGACCACCCCAGTGCTAGGATTGGGCTGTGCAGACTGGTCAGTATGGGGGAGTTGGGCTGAGGAGGAACTGGGAGTTTCTCTGGGAAATGAAGAGAGAATCAGACTATTAAGCCTAGAAGGATCTTCTAGTTCAGGAGTATCCAATCTTTTGGCTTCCCTGGGCCACGTTGGAAGAAGAAGAATTGTCTTGGGCCACACATAAGACACTAACACTAACAATAGCTGATGAGCTTAAAAAAATTGCACAAAAAAATCTCACCATGTTTTAAGAAAGTTTATGAATTGGTGTTGGGCTGTATTCAAAGCCGTCCTGGGACCACAAGCTTCATCTAGACCAAGCCCCTCCCATGCCAAGGAGAAAATGAGGTCTAGAGAAAGCCAAGGCTTGCTCAAGGTCATGTGCAAAGCTGGTGGTGGAGTCATAACTGGACCCAGGTCCCCTGACTTCCACGGGTATCATGTCCCATATTGTCACTGAGAGACACTGCTGAGCTCGGACAGTAATCATGGCGGCCTTGTCTACTGCTCCTGCCATCTCTGTGCAGATGACAGTCATGGGGATGTAAAGAGCCATCTGCCCCACGCTGCCGTCTCTAAATGCTCTCCACTGCTGCTCACGCCAGGGCATGGCCTTAGGAGGACTCTGCTCTCATCAATGGGGGCAAGAAGACCCAAAGGGGCAGACGGGGGGAGGCAGCAAAGAGGGGAAGATATCCCTGCCTGGAGCTGGGTGGGGCTGCCCGCGGTCTCTCTACCTTTGCATCCTGGCTGGTCAGCTGGCGGATGCCTTTAGGGCCAATGACCAGGTCCACAGTAATGTTCCATCCTTGCTGGAATAAAAGGAGAGTGGACTGTTGTCCCAGAGTTGCCCTCTCCATTCTTCAGAAACTTGAAGAAAAGCTCCCTAAGCTAGACACAGGCCACTGTCTCCTGGGTCTCCAGCTCCTTCCCCCAAAACCCTGGCCATACTGATTTTCCCCTCCTGACCTCTTTCCTGTCCTGCCTGCCCCCGCAGAGCTGGAGGCCAACATTTTAGCGCCTACTTCAGGCAAGGCGATGCCCGTGACTTCTGTGTCGGCAGGTTAGCGAGGTCCTGCTGCCTGAGAATCTGCAGCGATTGCAGCCTCTCCCTTCCCCCCACCCCCTTTCCTGAGAGGCCTGGAATCCAGGTCAGGGAGAGGATCAAGAGAGCCCGTCATTACAATGAGTTCACAGCGGTAGGTCTCCTGGTCAATGTTGGCGAAGCCTGCGAGGGTGTTGAAGAACTTCATGACGCACTCCTCCTCCCGGAGCGAGGCATACTGCTGGAAGGTCTGCTGGATCATCTTCCGGAACTGTTTGGGCTGGGGGAGGGGATGGGCAGTGTGAGGGAGGCCCGCTTCTCCCAGCTCTCACTTTTTCCCTTAAGGTCTCACCGAGAGACTGCCCACTGCTCGAAAATGGTCCCCAGGATCTTTGCCCCAAGAGCAGCTGTGATCTATGACCTAAAACACACACCCACTGTCTCAAGAGAGACTCACTATAACCGTATGAGTGAGGTGTAGGGGGCAGGAGGTAGCAACTTCCCAGCGCTTAGGCCACAGAGCTGATAAGGCCCCGATGCAGAGTGGGAGCCCAGGCATGTCACAGCTGGATTCCCACCCAGAGAGGACCCCTGGGTGCATTTAGTGGTCCTGTGTCCAAACGCCCAAGGCTGTGCAGATGCCTGCCTTCTCTGAGTATTTGCAGCCTCACCCTTCCACTCTAGTCTTGGGAATCAGCGCAAAGAGGTCCCCACCCATTGGTTTTCTCACCTTTAAGTTCTCCTGCATCTGTTTTGGGAAAAACAAGTCCAGCCCCACTTCTTTTCTGCAAGAAGGAAGAAAAAGGCAGCATGTGACTCCCCCCACCCCCACCCCAGGACTATGGGCCAATCAGGAAGAGGTGAGAAGGCTTTGGGACCTGGAGAGGGGCCCTGTGTGGCTCTGGTCTGGGGAGGGGTGGAGGAGAGGGGTGGAGGAGAAGAACACATGGAGGGACAGGGAGGGAGGGGAGGCGGGTGATCCCAGAACTTACTCTAGGAGCTCGAAGTTGGACTTCTTGTCAAGGGCATTGTGGGGCATATCCTTGAAGAACCGCCTGGAGAAAGAGGGGGTGGAGGGGGGCTGAAGGTTGGAGAATGAGGCAGTCAGACCCGGAACCTCATGCCACTAGAAGCCCCTTTCCTCTGCCATATGTGGGGGTCCCCAGGAGAAAGAAAGTTAGGAGAGTCATAAAATTTGGTATTTTGACCTATGAGGAAAAGCAAACCCTACAAATTTCATTCCTAGAAAAGACTCCAGCCTCGAATCCTAGGAAGCCCACTCTAGGAATGGGCAGATACTAGGCTGACTAGGCTGAGGAGGAAGATGGCGGCTCCATCTGTGACCTCTAAGAACAAAGACCCATGGCAGCCCATGTTGAATGATCAGCCTAGGAACACTGACCTCCACCTGCAGATCCTGGGGGGCTCTTGTGATTTCCTTTTCACTTATTTGCTATTTCTTAGATACCATATGTGTGTGTGTTTATGTGTTCATTTAGATACTTGTTAAATGTAGTACTGTACATATGAAAACTTTAGCACTTACAGAACAGAAGAAGAAAATAAAATTATTCATAGTTGCACCATGATTAACCATAATGTATTAACTAAAATATATTAATATTTACTTATATTCTTTATGTCTCATTTCCCCTAAAAAGGTATGCTTTGATAAATATTTTTATGCAATTGTGGCTTAACTGAGACCAAATAGCTAATGTCCTCACATGTGCCAGCCTCCCTTCCCTCTCTGTGTCACTGTGTCTAGTAATTTCATTGACTGCTGCAGACATTATCCTTCTCCTGATCATGTATTAGAGTCATTCAGTATTCCTTTAATTCAGGGATCCTTATAAATGTGTGGGAAAAGTTTTGTGCGACTAATACTATAAGCAGAGTGAGGGAAGTAACTTACAATTCAAAAGCAATGACTTTCGGACAGTTCACTGCGTTTAGAAAATAGGAAGGTTAGATCCTTACCACACATTCTGTCTAAAATAGTTATTCTTACGCATTAAAAGATAGAGGTCAGTTAAAAAAAAACTGCTTTCAAACCAGAAAAAATAATCTAGAAAAATATTTCCAAGTTATGGGATCAAGAAGACCCTCAAGGCTGGGTGCAGTGGCTCATGCCTGTAATCCCAGCACTTTGAGAGGTCAAGGTGGGCAGATCACCTGAGGTCAGGAATTCGAGACCAGCCTAGCCAATATGGTGAAACTCCACATCCCTACTAAAATTACAAAAAATTAGCCAGGCATGGTGGCGGGCGCCCGTAATCCCAGCTACTGGGAAGGTTGAGGCAGGAGAATTGCTTGAACCTGGGAGGCGGAGGTTGCAGTGAGCCAAAATCACACCATTGCACTCCAGCCTGGGTGATGAGTGAAACTCCATCTCAAAAAAATGAAAAGGAAGACCCTCAAGGCATGAAATCATAGAGGAAATACCCAATAAAAAAGTAAAACATAAAATGCTATATCCTTAAACATTTTAAATAAATGGTGTCTTCGAATACATTGTCAAACGAAGTAAGTAGTTACCTCTTAACAAATACAATCTCAATTTTACACTCTGTGCCCCAGCCTGAAACAATGGGCAATGTCTGGAGATAGTTTTGGTTATCACATCCTAGTTGGAGTAGGGGATGGTGGTGCTGTGAGCATCAAGTGGGTAGAGGCCAGGGATACTGCCAAACATCCTTCAATGCACAGGAAGCCCACCCCTCCCTGCTAACAAAGAAGTATCCAGCCCCAAATGTTACTAGTAGTGAGGCTAGAAAACCCTAGGAATTTGATCCAAGAAGAGAACTTAGAAAACTAAGAAGATGGGCTCTTCCCTACCCTGACTTTTCTCTACTGGGTGTCTGACAGAGCAAGGTAAGTGATGGTGCCTGAGACAGGATGTGCTTGCTGACTAAGGGCAGATGCGCAGAATTGGGAACCAGAAGACTGGGAGATAGGGATGACATTCAGGTATGGGAAAGGTCCTCAACCCCCAGGCCACGGACCAGTACTGGTCCGTGGCCTGTTAGGAAGCGGGCCGCACAGCAGGATGTGAGCAGTGGGTGACTGAAGGTTCATCTGTATTTACAGCTGTCCCCAGCTCCATCTCCTGTCAGATCAGTGGCGACATTAGATTCTCATAGGAGCATGAACCCTATTGTAAACCATGTATGTGAGGGATCTAGGTTTCACCTTCATTATGAGAATCTAATGCCTGATGACCTGTCACTGTCTCCTGTCACATCCAGATGGACCATCTAGTTGCAGGAAAACAAGCTCAGGGCTCCCACTGATTCCACATTATGGTGAGTTGTACATTTATTTTATTATATATTACAATGTAATAATAATAGAAATAAAGTATACAATAAATGTAACGTTCTTGAATCATTCTGAAACCATGCCCCACTCCAAGGAAAAATTGTCTTCCATGAAACTGGTCCCTGGTGCCAAAAAAGTTGGGGGCCACTGAGGTAAAGGACAAGAGAAGTCTACTCAGGATTCTCCCCTGGATGGAAGCTCCTTCTCCTCTTCCTCCTCCCACCTGAAGTGTGCCCGCAGTTAAGATCCCAAAGTTCCATATGATTGACCACGGCAGCTTTAGAAAACGTTTCATGCCAGTGTTACCTGCTCAACCTACACATTCTTAAGAAACCTCAGGGTGACTACAGGCAGGCTGGTCATCTGCAGTGCCCCTGAGTTGAGTGAGCCATAAAATATACTCCCAGGTAACTGAACACATTGGCTTGCTGTACACTATTGAATTCTAACAGAATAAATGTTGGCAAAGATCCACCGAGGAAGAGGATTTCAGTTATTTCAGAGTTATCCATTCATTCAACTATGTAGTGAGTCCATATGTGCCAGGCAAAGGCAACACCAGTTCTGATTCTAAGGATTTGATAGAATTTCACAATCTGGTGCATGGGCACATGTCATTGCCTCCCAGAGCTGGGTGCAAGGTGGTTTTGCAAAGGAGGCTGGACGGGGTCTGGATAGCACAGAAAAGGCTTCGAGACGGAGAGACCCTTAAGCTGGCTTGATGAGGACAGCAGATGGTCACACTGCTTGCAATTGACACCTCATAGGCTCATGCTGAGGTTTCCTACGTATGCAGAGGACAAGCAGGTAACACAAGCTCAGTACATTTTCTAAGGCTGCCAGAAGATAGAAGAGTTTACTAGGCTGAAAACGGAAATGAGAAGAGTGTGCCAGGCAGGGGGAATGCATTGCCCACCCATGGGGTGAGATCTGCTTCCCAGCCACAAAGGAGAGTGGTCTCCTAAAGCCACGCCAGCCTTATGATCTGTTGCTGAGTGAATAAATGAACTTTGAGACTTGCGAAGAAAGAATTTGGAAGACTGGGATACTTAAATATTAAATTTTCAGAAACAGGGTTAGCTAAATGAAAAGGTAAACATTTTGAAATTAACACTGAGCAACTGAAGCACATAAAAATAACAGCACTTTAGCATGATCAAGGAGGTAGTGAATGGAAAAATGTTTTATTAGGATAAAGGAAGCTCAGCTAGCACATTGAGATCATCCCAATCCCCTGGACCCAGCTTGCTTAACCCACTCCCTGTGTCCCCGATGACCCTTCTCTCAGGCATCGAAGATCATTTACATGGTTACCATGAACAAAAGTGTCCAATCACGCAGATGTGCCACAATCTGTGTGTTTCTAACATTTGGAGCAACTGAACATATTGGGAATGTCTGGGAGAACTAGTAACCAACACTCAACGGAGACAATGCTCTCTCCAGCAAGTTAGCCTCCCAATCATCTCAGCTGCTCTCCAGGGGCACCCAGGTCTCCCAAATCTGCCCCAACCGCAGTCACTGAGCAAGGCTGTGCCTACCTGGAGCACCCTCTAGTGCCTGGCTGGTCCCCCCAGCCCAAGCCTGTAATTTTGAGTAGCTAACATCAGGTGGACAGCAGTGGCGCCTATAATCAAATATAGGCCTATGACTGATACCCAGGTAAGGGCGGCAGAAAATAAGGAAACAACTAAACCAGCTAAACAACTAAATCCAGTTGGTTACTTTTTTCTTCTAAACATCAACAGAAATTAACTACAAGCCAAGATGCGTTTTGAAGCAAAGCAAGCTGTGTGTTCTTTCTCTACTATTTATTATCAGTTTCTACTTAACTAATCTGGGGTTACACATTCACTCTGTGTGTGTGTGTGTGTGTGTGTGTGTGTGTGTGTGTGTGCGTGCGCGCGCGCACATGCACGCTCTGCTGGGGGTGGGCAATGGTCCTAGGTGTCTCAGGTCAAGGGGGAGAAGTTATTTGGTTCCTCAAACTGGGCAGATACTGATTTCTAGCATAGGGGCCATGAATTTCAGACTTTCATTTTGAGGTACTATTTACAGAAAACATTTGACATTTACAAAGCATCTCCAGTAAATGAATAAAATTAACTAGGTATCTTTCCAACTATATGACATTCTGGAAAAGGCAAAACTATGGCAACAATAAAAAGATCAATGGTTGCCAGGGTTCGAGGGAAGGAGGGATGGATAGGTGGAGTACGGAGAATTTTTAGGGCAGTGAAACTACTCTGTGCAACACTATAATGGTGGATATAAGTAATTATACAATTAGGCAAACTCACAGCACATACACCACCAAGAGTGAACCCTAACGTAAATTACAGGTTTTAGGTAATAATGATGTGTCAATGTAAGTTTATCAATTGTAATAAACGCGCCACTTTGGTGGGGAATGTAGAGAGTGGGGAGGCTGGGCATGTGTGGGGAAGGGGGTGCATAGGAACTCTGTACCTTCTGCTCAATTTTGCTGTGAACCTAAAACATCTCTGAAAAATAAAGTCTATTCAAAATAAACAAAAGAAGGGTAAAGAAAAAAATAAGTAAAATATAATAAATAATTATTGAATACTTTGGTCCCTGCCATTGTTCTAAGTACTTTAAATACATTAACTCATTCATTCTTTGTAACAACCCCGCAAGGTTTGTTATGTTACTATTGTATAGTAACATAACATACATATTATGCATATTATACAGTAGCATATATGTTATATAGTAAAACATATGCTATATAGTAACAGAATATATTATTATATGTTATATAGCATAACAAATGTTATATAGTAATGTAATGTTACTATAATGCAACTATTATCATTCCTATTTTACAAATGAAGGAATCCAGGCAGAGAGAGAGATTAACTGACTTGCCCAGAGTAACACAGGAAACTCAGGACTCCACTGAAGATTCATTTCACATATCACATGTCTCAAGCCTACATTGTATCTCTTTTTTAAGCTAGGAAATAATATAGTATTTTTTCCTAGAGATGCCATGTATCTACAGGTCGGTGACATAATCAATGATGCTAATAGTACAAGGGATTATTGCTCATGATTTGTAGGTAACCCCACACCCTGGGACATTTTCAGACCAGAGCCACAGCCCTAGAAAATTCTGCCTTATACTCTGATTTTCCAAAATGTGTCCAAGTCTCTCTTGGTGCCAAACAGTTGTAACTTGACTTTAAAATAGCTCATTATAACAAATAATTGCATTCAGCTTTAAAAATTATTAGACCTGCAAATCTTCTATTACGTTCATAAAATAGGTGTTCTTCATAACCTCTTTCTAATATCATATACCCTGCACTTCAATGGTCAACCACTAAGAATAGGAACATCTCTCTGACTCTGTTCCTCACATTCAGGAGACGTGAAACAATATGTCTCTTGCACAAAACAAGTGTGGCTTTTAGAATCATCCTGCGTTGGTTAGACAGCAGATATCTGCAGTCATACTCATGACAATACTACCTACAGGAGTCACATTGGATGCCTCGCCCTGTTCTCCAATACATTAGTGCAGCGCCTGGCACTTAGGCCACCAGCAGCAATAGTTTGGGGGTGATTGGAGGATATAGTAAAACAAAATAGAATGTTAATGGGTCTTTGTGGTGCTGTTTTACAACTAAGTGATGACTACTTGACAGGTGACAAGTGATGGGTGTGTCAAAGTGATAGTAGCATCCTGGGTATGAGATCCATAAATAAAACGGTAAAGATAAGCGTTTTCAACTTGTCTGATTTTAGAGGGGAAAATAAGACTGTATAGGATGTAATGCAGCTCATAGGAGCCGAGTGGTCTGAGAAGGCATAAAAAGCACAGATAATAAAATAAACTTCACAGACTGCCCCTGGTCTGCCAGCACCAAGCTCCCAAGATTATTACTAATGGCAGCGAGCTGGGATGCCTTCTAAGCAGCTGCAGGGATGAACGCTCCCTTGCTTGTTGAGACAAAGTAACCAAATACGAAGCCCTCAAAGCTGCCCTTGACCTACTCTATCAGTAATGCCAACAGCCTCAGATGCTGAAATCAAAGTGGGACCCTCCCCTTCCCATCCCACTGCCCCCACTGGGGTACCCCTCAGCATTCCCTCTGAGATTCATTAAGGGGCCAGAATTCCCCAGTGCCCCCCATTCTGTAGAAGTGGCAGCAGAGTTCTACTCTCTATTTAACCTCGAGGTCACAGATACCGCTCCAGAAATGCAGTTCCAGAAAACAGGAAGTAATCCTTGACTAACGATTTTCCTGGCAGTCATCCTGAAAGTCCTCCCCTCAACCCATATGACTAATGGTATTCAAGTCACCTGGGGTGGGGGAGGTCAAAAATGTCTAGGATAAGGTTCCACTCAGGTCTGTCAGATCAAATCTCCCTAGGATAGGGGCAGGACACTTCTAGTTTATTAAGCTCCCAGGTGATTATGATTTGTAAGCAGACGTTGAAACCACTGCTCTAAGGCAGAGAAGGGGTAGAGAGAAGCAGAGGAGAGGGTAGAATGGCAGGGCATGGTGAAACCCAATGGCGTTGCACTGGTCATGGCAGGGTAGAGCACAGGTGAGCCACATCACCCTCCTCAGTCCCAAATGGCAATGACCGCATGGCAGCCAAGAAGCCTAATTTTTTAGACTGTCATTCTAATTATATCATTCTAATGATACCACTGGACTGCCATTGGACCAATGGTGTCTCCCAACATCAGCCCCAACTTACCGCTCCAACCTCGCGATTCTCCAGTCTATGCTTTTCCTTCCGCTGATCCCTGGGCCTAGAGTGTTTCTCCCCTGACCCTGTTCTCTGCTGATTGACACCTTTCTCCTCCCTCCAGGAGCAGTTCAGATACCCACTTGCGGATGCCCTTGGACAGGATGAATGACTCCTACACGGAGATCGGCGCCATCTGCATTCAGCCGCGTATTATGATTAATTGTATACACATCTGTCACCCCCCCAACATGGAAATGTGAGGGCCTCTCTGGATGATGTACTGATTCCAAACATATTGTTCAAGTGCCTACTGGAAGTGGGGATACAGCAATGGCAACGCAGATTGACATCTCTAGGTTCAAATGTCCCCCAGATCCTAGCCTGGTGACAAGAAGCATCTGCTGAATCGCTCGAACAGCAGCAGAGGTGACTGACAGACAGAAAAACCCAGCAGCCTGCAGGCAAGAGCAGTGGCAGCAAAGGAAGCCAGGAGAGTGCATCTAGGGAGGGGGCTGGCCCTCCCACCCCTGCCATCCCGAGGACAAGACACGCAGCCCCTCAGAGCCTCACCTGCTGCTGGTCACCACCTTTCCCCTTCCTGATTCTCACATACTCATTACTGTTTCCCATCCTGGACGTGGGGAAAGGCTGGGCCAGTCCAGAGCTCAGCCCAAAGCCCAGCACAGCACCCTCCCAGCAGAGGCCTTGAGGCCACATACCTGAGCTCCAGGCAGCCCAGCTGCAAGGCCATGCCTTCACTGACCTTGCTGGCGTAGCGTTGCATGTAGTCATTCCGGAGCTGGTGGGGAGAAACGCCAAGCATCAAACTTGCACCCTCATTACCTCCCTGGCCCCCGTTTCCCTGAACAGAGGTCCCAGAAGATGAAGGGCCTGATTCTGGCTCCCTAAGCAACAGCTACCCACCCCACCGCAAACAAACTTAGAGCAGGGATGGAGAGCATGAGGGAAGGGGTACCTGACCTTCTACAGGCCAAGGCTGTGAGGTTTTTGAGGTGCTTTTACAGGCATTCTCTCCCTGCTCCATAGGCAGGAAGTTCAGATCCCCCTCATCCCCCATTTTGGACAGAAGGAAACTGATTTTGCAAGGAGTCAGTAATTTATCCAAAGCCCTGTTGGTAAATAGTGATAAATGTCATCCACAGGTCAAGAAAAGTCTAGCTCAGTGTCTAGCAAACCAGGAGGGACGTAAGACCAGATGGAAGACAACAACGACCGCTCCTGTTGATGCTGTGCTTCGCTCTGCACCTGGTGCTGGGCTTGGCACTCCACACACATTCTGTCTGGAAGTCAGAGATGCTCAGAACAGCTGCTGAGAGCTGGTTGTTAAGTTTTCAGAAGTTTTGTGAGCAAGTAGATGTCCTAACTGATAGCTTGAAATAGGCCACGGTGGGGGAGTATTTACACCATAGAAATTGGCAAGTCCCATAAAAAGGAATTAAATAGTGGCATTTGCAGCCACCTGGATGGAGTTGGAGACCAGTATTGTAAGTGAAGTAACTCCAAAGTAGAAAACCAACTTTGTATGTTCTCACCCACAAGGGGGAGCTAACCATGACGATGCAAGAACACATGGACACAGGGAGGGGAGCACTACACACTGGGGTCAGTTGGGGGGAAATAAGGGAGGGACGGTGAGGCGTGGGGAGCTGGGGAGAGATGGCAAGGGGAGAAATGCCAGATGTAGGTGATGGGGAGGAAGGCAGCAAATCACACTGCCATGTGTGTATCTATGCAACAATCTTGCATGTTCTTCACATGTACCCCAAAACCTAAAATGCAATAAAATAAATAAATGAAAAAAAAATGATACAATGGACTTTTGGGGACTTGTGGGGAAGGCTGAGAGAGGGGTAAGGGATAAAAGACTACACATGGGGTACAGTGAACACTGCTTGGGTGATGAGTGCACCAACATTTCAGAAATCACCACGAATGAAATTACTCATGTAACCAACACTACCTGTTCCCCCAAAAAACCTACTGAAATAAATAAACAGGCAAGCACTGCATGTCAGGGAAGTTTTGTTTGGAGAGCCAATTTACCAGCCAATAATACCATCTGGTCTCTACAACGACCCTATAAAGTAAGAATTATTATTATAATTCCCATAGTAATTTTATAGCAGAGGAAACAGCTTCATGCAGGTAAATGAGGTCTCCTGGGGCTCTCAGGTTAGTGAATGGCAGAGCTGTGCAGTAAGCACTGCAGGCTTCATCCTGGACCTGCTCTTGCGGCTTCACTAGCCAGGTCTCCTGGGCCAAAAGAAAAGTCCAAAAGGAGCTGGGAGCATACCGGGCAGTTTACCCAGTCATTAAATACTGAGAGAGAAGTGGGGTTGGCACCGCTGACCATAGACCTAGAACGTCCTTCAAGAGAAGTTTCCTAGCTTGGGCCCTCCGGAATCTGGGCTTTTATCTTTCCATTTCCCTAGGAGAGGATGGTTGATGCTTGGCATTTAAGGTGCAATGGGAGTCTCGGGCAGGAAGATAAAGTACTTTTTACCTGTTGGTAAAAATAAAGCAGTGTGGTCCTGTCCTCCTTCAGGCTCTCCATGAAGTCTTCTGGCAGGTAGCGGATTTGAAGGTCATACCTGCAACAGGACAGTCAGGCTCTGGTTGACACAGGGAAGCTGGAGCCTAAAGAAAAGAGTGGGACCCCAAGGGCAGAAGCAACCCCACTGCAAAGGGGAGGGCTGCCCATGGGTCTCATGGCCACCCATTCCGGGCTTTTCTCTTTCCCTCCTCTGTGGTTGGGCAAGAGGCCATCAACAGGGAGGTGGCTGGCAGGTGATGTCAGAGCTGGCCCTGACTTTCCACCTTTCTCTCTAGTGGCAGCTGTTTCCCATAGGTTCACAGGCCAGCCCTAGACCTGGGCTTTCCATCCTCCCCACCCTTCTGTCTCTCTTTTCCTCTAGCATTGTCAACACCCCATTCAGGGTTACTTTTAGGTGTCTGCTCTGGGATGGGGATAGTCTATGAGCCCAGATTAGCTTAGAAAATACATGTATTTGATGCTGGAGGAAGGCTAGAATGCTACTCAGATTTGCTAGAAGATTCTGAGGTAGGAGAGTACTCTAAGGGAGGAACTCCTAGGGCCTCCCCACCCGAAATTCCCCTCCTCCCCACTTTCAGAGCCCAGGAGTCCATTCCTACCTCCACTCGGCTTCCACGTGCAGACACTCATACTTGTCCTGTACCTCACCCACCGTCATCTGCGGGTGCAGCCAGTGGATCTCATCTGACTTCATGTGCTTCAGCCTCAGCCCATAGCACTCAGCCAACTGGATGTTGGGGCCAATCCGCCCACTCAGCAGGATGGAGGTGATGATCTCCTGCAGAGAAGAGAGGGGCACGGCTCAGGGGTGCCCTCCTCTGGGCTCCCACAATTCTCACATGGACCTGAAAAGTGTGATTCTCTAGGGTAGGATTCTGTCTTTATGTTCGATTTGTCTCTGATTCTCTAGCACTTAGGGAAAGATTTGCACACAATGGGCTCTACCTGATACACGAACGAATGGGTGAAATGAGACAGAGATGGAGGAACTGAGAGAGCAGAAGGGAGGAGAAAATGCAAAGAGGCAAAGAACACCGACAATTTGCTTCTGCACCACATTATAACCTAACCAATCAGTAATTACTGAACATCCACCATGTGAACAGCACCTTCTGAGTGGTTTGCAATTTAACCAGCATCACTGAGCTCCTGCATCAGGCACTGCTAGGGCCTTTTGCAGACATGATTTCATTGGCTCCACAACACAGGGAAGCAGGAGTTACCATCTCTGTGTGGCTGATGGAGACACTAATACAGGTCACACAAGCCACGAAATTAAACTGGGATTTGGAATCCTGGGCCACTAGACTGAGGATTTCTACTAGGACAAGCCGATTCACGGAGTGGTGGGACCGGACACGATAAGGACAAGATTCACTTGGATGGATTAAGTGCCACAATCCCCACACGAGCAGGGTCACAAGAAATGAGTGCTGGCAAGAAACCAGGTACCCTGTTGTTTCCACCTTCTTGTTAACCAGAGGTTAATAGACTGCCTGCCTCCCATCTGATGCCGCAGCTTTCTGGCCTAGAGTCAGAGGTGGCCAGGCAGCTGCTTGGAAGTGCATCTGTAAGGTCCTGCCTAGTTCTGAAATCACTTTGGTGCCATTTTTTTTTTCTTGAAATGGCATCTTGCTCTGTGAACCAGGCTGGAATGCAGTGGTGCTATCTCAGCTCACTGCAACCTCCGCCTCCCAGGTTCAAGCCATTCTCCTGCCTCGGCCTCCTGAGTAGCTGGGACTACAGGTACATACCACCATGCTTGAATAATTTTTTTAATTTTTAAGAGAGATGGAGTTTTATCATGTTGGCTAAACTTGAACTCCTGACCTCCAATGATCCACCTGCCTTGGCCTCCCAAAATGCTGGGATTACAGGCGTGAGCACCACACCCAGACTTTGGTGCCATGTTAAGTCAGGTTTCTCATGTAATTCCACAGAGTTGGTGAATTGAGCTCACTCCTGACAGAGCAGAGAGTACTCTGGGATATAAATTTAAAAACCTGAAGGCACTGATCTATCTCTGTTGGATATGTCTGCAATGTGCATGCCACCAAGCCTAAATCAGCCTGAAGACTGAATAATGCATAACAGGTTGCTGTCAGACCAAAAAGGGCAAGGGGGGGGGAATTGATTATTTAGATTTTACATTTTTTTAAACATGCCTCCCAAGACAGTTTCTAATTTAGTAAATCAACTGTAATCAGTTTTTTAATTGGAATGAAAAGAAGGAGGCATACTATTTTTCTCAGAAGGAAATCAATTTCTTTCTCTCTCCACTAGGAAAGTATCATGCTAATACTTAGAAAATCCTGGTTTGAAGGAATGCCCAGTTAATTTGCCTTCCGGGGCACCCATGTGTCTTGGGCCAGCTGCCTCTTGCTAGCCCTTCTGGACTCAGGGAGATGTGAAGCTAGAAGACCCTCAACCTGAAAAATCCCTTCCCTATTAGGAAAGAAAATGCCTGTCACAGAAGGTGATGACTGCTCTGTGAACTAGATGGGGAAACTAAGGCATGGAATGCACTTGTGAGCAGTTGTAACTAACTAGTACAGCAATCAGAATTGAGGCCTTGGATGGGGAAGAAGACTGGGACCAGTGGCACTCCTACAGGGAGAGGGAGAGGTACATCTGGGTGGGGGAGGAGTTCAAGCCTGTGAAGGCAACCATTTTGTCATCCTTTCTACCCATTTCTCCTGTCCCTGACCTTCTGCCCTGCTCTGTCCACTGTCATCCTGTCATATTACCCAGAGCCCCCACTTTACTCCCAAGTGCTTCCTGGAGCCCCCACCTCTGGTGCTTTTAAATTTAGAGTCCTCTCTGCTCCAGCTGAAACCTACTTGGCTAATAACTAACTTCCTCAGGGCTAGCACCCCTATGCTGTTTATTATCAAAAATCTCAAACATATACAAAGTAAACAGAAGAGTATAATAGACCCCCATGTACACATCACCCAGCCTCAACAAATTACCAACCTTCTGCCTTCTTGCTTCATCGATATCACCACTCACTCCCCAACTGTGACTTTTTTACAGTTCTTCTAATGTAAAATTTATATACATTAAAATGCATAAATTGTAGCTATACAGTTTTGACACATGAATACAACGGTGTAACCCACATACCAATTAAGGTATAGAAGTTTCCAGATCCCCAGAAAACTCCCCCATATCCCTTCTCAGTCCACCCTCATGGCCCACTCCCTCCCACCTTTCCAGGCACTTACCTTACCCCCACCACTTTCAACTGGTTTTGCCTGTTCTAGAACTTCACGTGAATGGAATCATTTAGCATACACTTTTTTGTGTCTTTTTTTACTCAGCATGATGTCTGAGATCCATCATGTTGTTGCATATATCAATAATTAATTCCTATTTATTGATCAGTAATGTTCTACTTTGTAAAGGAATCACAAGATGTTGACTTAGTCCTTTGCTTCTGGATACACGGACTATTTCTACTTTTCAGCTACTGTGAATTAAACTACTATATGAACCTTAATGTACAAGTATTTCTGTGAATACATGTTGTCATTTCCTGTGGATAAATGCCTACAAGAGGAATTACTGGATCAAAGATAGATGCATGTCTGACTACAACCATCAGGATTATTCCATTTTACATTTATCCTGTGACATGACACTTCCGTTACACCACATCTTCACTGACATCTGGTGGTGTCAGTCTTTTTAATATTAGCCATCTCAGTGGGTGTGTAGTGTCTCATTGTGCTTTTAATTTGCATCTCTCTGATGACTAATGATACTGAACATGTTTTCATGTGTTTATAGGCCATTCATATACCTTCCTTTGTAAATTGGTTGTTTGAATCATTTTCCCATTTTTTCTGTTGTGTTTTCATTTGTAGGAGGGTTGTAGGAGACTTTTATACATTCCAGATAAAAGCATTTTATATGCTGTATTTTATGAATATTTTCTCCAGGTCTGTAGTGGGCCTATTCTGCATTGCCCAATTAATGTCTTTCGATAGAGTCTAACTTGTCAAAATTTTCTTTCCTGATTAGTGCTTTCTGTATCCTAAGAAATCTTTGCCTGCTTCCAGGTCATGAAAATATTCTATGTTTTCTTTTATAAGCTTCATAGCTTTAACTTTTAGTTTTGTGATCTATCATGAATTAATTTTTGTATATGGTATTCATTTTCAAAAATATAGATCTATGGCTGTTCAGCATTCATTGTTGACTATTCTTTCCCAAATGAATAACTTCTGTCAAAAACCATTTGGCCATCTAGGTTTAGGTCTATTTCTGAACTTTCATTTCTTTTCTATTGATCTTTGTCTATACTGTACCAATATCAACCACACTGCCTGCATTACTATAGCTTTACATAAGATCTTGAAGCCAAATAGGGTTAAGTCTTCTGTTGTTCCCCATTCCACAGATTATTGGGCTAGGTCTTTGCATGTCCACGTAAATTTTAGAATCAGCTGGCCACTTTCTTTTTAAAAAGTCTGCTGCATTATGAATGGGACTGTGTTAAATCTATAGCTTAAGAGGAGAAAACTGGCATTTTTTTTAGTGTTTAATTTTTTATAGAGTTTGGGTCTTGCTATGTTAACCAGGCTGGTCTTGAACTCTTGGCCTTCAAGTGATCTTCCCACCTTGGTTTCACAAAGTGTTGGGATTACAGACATGAGCCACTGCACCTGGCCAGAACTGGCATCTTAACAGCATTGATTCCTCTAATCCATGAACATGGTATATCTGTCTATTTATTTGGGTCTTTTTCAGTTTCTCTTAGTAATGTTTTATCGTTTTCAACATATAGATTGTGCCAGTCTTTTGCTAAATTTATTCCTAATTAATTTATAAATTAAAAAAAATTTTCTTCTATAAATTATTTCTAAAAATTAATGTTTTATTTTGGGGCTTACTGTCTCCATGACTTTCTGCTAATCTTCTTGTTGCTCTGGCAATCCCAGATTATATTCTCTAGTACTTTCAGTTACTAAGGCTATAGATTTTTGCCCCTGGAACCCTCTTCCAGACTGGAAGTTTCTCTCAGACAAAAAGGCACAAACTTGCAGATCTCATTCATCACAGATTAACTCTCAAGAGCAGGTTTCCTTTTAGTTTGTGCTTGCTATGGCCACTCACCAGTGCCTGCAAAGAGTTCACTTTTAAATTTTGCCCAGATTTCATCATTGTTATCTGGAGAAACAGTAGTCAAGCCAAGCTATCCTATCATTTTTGAAATCTTTATGCTATTTTATTAACAAATCTGTGTTCTCTGCAAATAGGAGAGGGTTGGGGAGCAGAGAGCATCTTTTAAGTCATGGACAACTGAAATGCAGACTGGCAATAGCCAGGAGCACAAGCCCTGGTGCCAGGATGCAGCAATGCCTTTCTGCTCACCACCAGCACCCAGCTGGATGTTCTTCGGTACATACTGAAGTTATCTGAATTCAGTTTTTTTCATCCAGAATATGGACAAAATAATAGTATCAATTTGGAATGGTTCTTGTGGGATTAAATTAGATAAAACTCCGTAGAATGATGCTTGGCCCAAGGTAAATACTCAAAAACAACAACAACAACAAATAGCCCTCCCCACCTGCAAACAAAATATTAGCCTTATTTTGACACAGCAGTCTCTTACACAGTCTAGTGCTCTGTAAACCAGATTGGGAAAACAAAGCAGAATTCATTCTATTTTTTCTCTTTCTTTACCTTTCTACCTTCTTTTCTTTTTCCTTCCTTTGGAGGTGGTGGTGGGTCAGGGGTCAAAGGAGTTGGTCCAGGAAAGATGGTTGG